GTTATTGGGGAGCTGACAGAGGCTTGGTCAAGATTAGTGGATCCCTGGGAATTGGGTTAGAAGAAAGGGCTCCTATACTGGTCAGGATGAAAGTGATTTAAAAAAATATTATGTATGTCTTGCCTTCATGTATGTAAATGCACCCGTGTCATGCAATGCCTGCAGAGGTCAGAAGGGGGCATCAGATTCCCCTGGAACTGTAGTTGTGGATGGTTAGCCACCATGTGGGTGCTGGGAATGGAACTTGGGTCCTCTGCAAGAGCAGCCAGTGCTCTTAACCGCTGAGCCATCTCTCCAGCACCGATAAAAGTGATTTTTTATCCAAGTCAGAGTATACCTAGCTTTATCTGGAGTTGCCATAAAAGACTATACACTCTTGGTGCTGATTGCACTAGGGTCTGGACATAAAAGTCCACATACCATTCCAATGGTTGTCTGTGCATAGTATGCTGGGAAACTATAATGCAGGGTTGCGGGGAAGCAGACCAGGATCACTCAGTGATAATCATGGTGCTTGCTACTCAAGATGGCTGTGGTCAGGCCAAACTGGAACCCTACAGTGGGCCCTGGGAGGTCCCCTAATGTGGCTCTATCCTCCTATGGTTTTATGGGAGTCCTGGAGCATTGTTACAAGTGGGTTTCTTCCAGATGCTCATATTCCATAATGAGGCCCAGTTCCAAGACTTAAGCATGGCCTTTCCATCACTGGTGATGGTGCTTTCTTGGGGAACGAAGCAGAGTGAATAAGTACAAGGCTGTGAGAAGGAAATATTGAGTAACTGACGTAACGAAAGTCAGAAACAGGAAGATGAAGGACAAGGTAGGCCACCTTCCGCTTAGCTGGAAAGTTTGCTCCTGGAGCTGCTTTATTCACACCAGGTCAGTAACAGCTCTAGGTTTGAATTCTGAGTCCATGTGCCACCAAATCAGTTTTCTATCCTACTAACCATCTGGGTTTTGTGCTCCGCAGAATGGAAGGATGGCTGGGGTCAGGATCCTACTAGTCTATTTGTAACCAGCTTCCTTAAATTGTTACTTACTTCCTGCATCATAAAGTCTAACAGACTAAGTCCTCTCTGCTTGCTCAGATAAATACACTCAGATGTTCACAGGCATGCCTGCAGTTGTAAATAATCATCAAAAGCACTCTCCCCAAACAGGGCTTTGCTCTCCAGCCTGCAACAGACAGCCTGAAGACTTGCTGCAATGGCACTGCTACAACAGTAACACATCTGTCAGGTTTCCCTCACCATTCCTTTACAGTGACAGGACTCCAGACATCCACAGCTGCACACAGATGTGAAGGAGCTGGAATTAGGCAGAACTAGCCACATTCACCCCCTTTATCAGGGGGACAGCAAAAGTTTCAGACTTCTGATTGTGTTCCACTGGTAAGATGTCACAGGACCACTCCTGAGGCAACAGTAAAAAGGGAATTCCAGCTGGGCGTGGTGGCGCATGCCTTTAATCCCAGCACTCAGGAGGCAGAGGCAGGAGGATCTCTGTGAGTTCAAGGCCAGCCTGGTCTACATAGTGAGTTCCAGGACAGCTGGGGCTACAGGGAGACCCTGTCTCAAGACCAAAAAAAACAAACAAACAAAGGAATTCTACACTTCTAGCTTCTAGAGTGGAAGTGAGCACATAGGAATGTCTTTTTGGTTGTGAAACTAACCATCTTACACTTTTATCCCCCTTCCCTCCTGTACTTTTGTTATATAAAATGTTTTGTTATTACTATAGTCATTGATTCTCTCCATAATTCTCCAAGAACTGCAGGCCATAAAGGTTGGACTTTCTTTTTTTGGTCTTTTTGAGACTGTCTCCCTGTAGCCCCAGTTGGCCTGGAACTCACTATGGAGATCAAGCTGGCCTCAGGCTCACAGAGATCAATCAGCCTCCTTCTGCCTCCCAAGTGCTAGTGTAGGTGAGCTGGGACCGGCATCTGGACTTCCTTTCCAATTTCATCCAGAGAAGGGCTTGAAGCCTAGTCATTCTAGAAGTCTTAGGTGTGGAGACCCAGTGGATCTCAGACTGATTCTACGTCTCACAGACCCTCTGGTAAAACCTACCTATTCCTCTCTTGAAATAGAAGTGGGCTTAACTGATATAAAAAATTTCAAATCATTTGTATGTACACTCACATTCACGTGTATCTATGTGCATGTAATGCCAATACCTGAAGAATCTAAAGCTGTCAGATCCCACTGGAGCTGGAGTTACAGGTACCTGTGAGCTGCCCAATGTGGTTGCTGGGAATTGAACTTGGGTCCTCTGTAATAGCAGCAAAGGTTCTTAACCATTGAACCATCCCTCTGGCCCCATAACTGATTTCTGAGAAAAGAGGAACTGAAAAAAACAGGAAACTGACTTCAGGAAGCATAAAACAAACAGGAAAAGGAAGATGATGACACATATGTGATACACTGTGATACATATTATTTGGTTTAGAAAGAAAAACTTTAAAACAAAATACCATGGTTCGAGTGACGCATTGCTGCCAAATTAAAAACAGCTTAGCAAAAATTTTCCCAAAATGACAAATAATTAATTGAATTTGTAATAATTCACCTTCTCATGACTTCATATGAAGCATAAGGCAGCTTTGAGAAAACATGTCTAACAAATATAAAAAGTATTATCATGTAAAAAGAATCACATTCAGTGTCTCTCATTTATTTATGTGTGCTGGTGCCCACAAAAGTCAGAAGGGGCATCAAATTCCCTGTGAGCCACCCTATGTGGGTGCTGGGAATTGAACCCTGGAACAGCAGTAAGTGCTCTTGATCACTGAGTCCCTCTCCAGTCACACATTTAATGTCTTATACTTTGTAAAACTAGAAGAATGAATGTTCTGGGCATGGTGGTGCACACCTTTAATCCCAGCACTTCAGACGCAGAAGCAGGCAGATCTTTGTGAGTACGAGGCCAACCTGGTCTACATAGTGAGTTCCAGGACAGCTGGGGCTACAGGGAGACCCTGTCTCAAAAAGACAAAGAAAAAAACAAAAACCCCTAGAAGAATGAATAAAGAATTATCCATCAACAAAGATAAGCACAGGGGTCAAACAAAATGTGATTAATCACTTTTATCAACAAATAGGAATTTATTAAAAATTTAATTTTATGGGTTTTGCTTGCATGTATTTGAGTGCACCAAGTGCATGCAATGCCGTGAAGGCCAGGAAAGATAGTGGATCCTTTGGAACTGGAGCTACATATGGTTCTGAGCCACCATGTGGGTGCTGGGAACCGAACTTGGGTACTCTGCAAGAGCAGGCAGCACTCTTAAACGCTGAGCCATTTCTCCAGGCCCAGGAATTGTTTCTTACATATTCATTCACCTCATTATTTATTGATGGAGCAAATGCTGATGCCCTGAAATGAATTTTGTCATACGTATTTGTGTGTGTGTGTGTGTGTGTGTGTGTGTGTGTGTGTGTGTGTGTGCATGCTGGCACATGGAGATCAGAGGGTTGAGGGACTGGTTCTCTCCACCACACGGGTCTTGGGAATAGAACTCAGGTTGTTAGGCTTGGTAGAAAATGGCTTTACCCTCCTGAACTACCTCTCAAGCCTGAAAATAAATTTCAGGACATTATTTAAAAATAGCAAGGCTTGGGATGGAGAGATGGCTCAGCAGTTAAGAGCACTGGCTGCTCTTGCAGGACCAGAGTTTTGTCCCGAGCACCTACATGACAGCTAACAGTGGTCTGTGATTCCAGTTCCAGGGCATCCAATGCCTTGTTCTGGCCTCTGCAGGCACTGCATAACATGGATGCACTGACATGCATGCAGGCAAAACACTCATACACATTAAAAAACAACATACAGGCTTTTTATTATTTTTTTTTTTTAAAGAGCCAGTGAAATAGCTCAGCAGGTAAAGGTATTAGTATTTGCTGCCAAGCCTGATGACCTGAATTCAATCCCTGGAACTCACACAGTGAAGTACCAACTCCTACAAGCTGTCCTCTGATCTCCATACTTGAATGCTAGGGCACGCTCTTGCCTCTAACAACAACAACAACAACAAAATTCTCAGCTGGGCGTGGTGGCGCAGGCCTTTAATCTCAGCACTTGGGAGGCAGAGGCAGGCGGATCTCTGTGAATTCCAGGGTAGCTGGGGCTACAGGGAGACCGTGTTTCAAAGGCAAAAAAAAAGGTCATTATTTTATTTCCTTTTGGTCTTTTTGAGACAGGGTCTCCCTATAATCCCAGCTGGCCTGGAACTTGCTATGTAGACCAGGCTGGCCTTAAACTCAGAGATTCACCTGCGTCTGCCTCCTAAGTGTTGGGATTAAATGTGTGTGCTGCCACATGACCTAAATTTAAGTAATGTTTTCCTTCATGTTATGTGTGTGTGCATGCTAGAGCATCCTCAGCACACTGTGTAGACCTGTGGAGGCCAGGGTCCAGCGCCCTTACTCTCGGCCTTGTTTCCTTGAGAACCCAGAGCTAGGCTAGCAGTCAGCAAGCTCCAGCTGTGCTGTCTGTTCCCATAGTGCTAGGGTTCCACACCTGCATGTTGCCACATCTGGCTTTTTACTTGGGTGTTGAGGATTCAAACTTGGGCCCCCCATGCTTGTGCATCAAGTATTCTTACTGAATCATTTTCCCAGCACTTCTGGGTATTGGTTTAAAAAGGAGCTAGGATTTTGTTACATTAGAGCTGCAGATCTAGAAGCCAAACAAGCTGCAGATCTAGAAGCCACACACACACACACACACACACACACACACACACACACACACTAACCTTCCAGGTCTCTTGCACGCAAGACAGAAGTCAAAACAAGACGTCCTTTTCATTAACAGGCAGGACTTGAAGTTTAGTCATTTTCACACAGGATAAAAAACAAACCCAGTTACACTGGCAGCACAAGGACAGCACTTGCACCTGGTCTGTGGCTGTGCATGGTCCTGGTCATCCAGTGCATTTCGTTCCTCAGGAATTTTCTTTGATGACTGCCTTCAGGGTAAAAAACACTTATCAAACTGTATTTCTAGTAGTACAGTTTATTCATTTATATAAACACACCTCACCCATTGTGCTCCAACTTTGTTACTCATTCCTGTTGACATCAGTCATTAATTACATCCTAACCACCCTCCAGCCCCAAGCTTTACTTACAGTTAAGACTTTGTACACAGCACAAATCAACTTAGTTGTTCCTAATGCACAAAAATCAGTTAATCACTGTGCTGAAATGCTTTTCTTCAGCTTTTGGAAATACTTATACATTAATTTAAATGTACATAGAAAATGTTTCTTAAATACCAAAGGTTCATTGCTAAAGACAGAACGCTCTGCACTTCTTAGCACGACACCCCTCTGTAAACTGGGAAGAGCAAACAACACTTAAACAAAAACATGAAACCACCTATGCTAATCATACAATAAATTCTTCAAAGTACATTTTCAATGTGGCCTTTTATTATTTTTAAATATTTTATCTTGAGTATACTGCCAGCATGTGTATAAGTTCAATACCTGTAGAGGTTAGAAAAGGACATTGGATCCCTTGGAACTGGTGTTATGGATGATTGTTAGCTGCCATGTGGGTGCTAGGAATCCAACCCTGGTGTCAGCCCATGGCTTTTTATTTGAAATGGACTGGGGGAAAATCCTGAAACAGGTATATATACATATTATCTTTCTTTTTTTAAATTTAGGGTTCATTTAATTCAGGTTGCCCTGGAATTCTAAGTAGGCCACAGTGGCCTGAAACTTCCTGTCCTCCTGCCTCAACCACTCAAGTACTGGAGTTACAGGAATGGACCTCCACAGGCAGCTGTTTCCTGATTGCTTGGGTTTTTTGTGTTTTGTTTGTTGTTTTTTGGAAGTGCTGGAGATAGAACCCAGGCTTTCTTATTTGGTAAAGACAAAAACCACCTATGATAAAATTTATTATCATAATGTAGGTGTACATGTGGTCATGTAGATACACATGTGGTTCTTTGTCTTAAGACTGCTTTCTCACAGAAAGTGTATAAAGTCTAAAAAATTATTTCAAGAGAGATCTGATTCAACATATTGTGAAATTATCAATGCTACTTCTGATGTTTAAATGTTAAGAAGTTGGAAGGCAAAAATATACTTTTGCAATTAAATATATGGCATTATATTTAAGTGGAAAGTAGGCATTTTACCAGTATTTCAATTACAAATATTTTGTTAGCCAGGCGTGGTGGTGCATGCCTTTAATCCCAGCACTGGGGAGGCAGAGGCAGGCTGAGGCCAACCTGGTCTACATAGTGAGTTCTAGGCCAGCTGGAGCCTGTACACAGGGAGGCCCTATCTCAAAAGACTGGAAAAAAATGTTATCCCTTCAAAAACTCACTGAACTAGTTAAATATTAGCTAGTTTTCCACTTCTCCGCAAATTTTTCCTATTTTTTCACCAGATTTCTGCTTAGAATTAATAACTCTGGAAAGCAGGACATGATAAATCCAGTCTCCAATGCCACACAAATGCTCCACATGCTTCTCTATGTGGTGGGCAGAGAGCAGTGGGAGGGAGGTGATGTCAGAACTACTAAGATGACATGCTGGAAGCAGCTGGCGAAAGCAGTTACCAGGATGGGAGGAAACCTATATTCCCCTGTTCCATGTCTTCATGTTCCTTTCTCTGTTGCTAGTGTTACTGGGGAGTTGAACCCAGGGCCTCACACATGCTAGGCAAGCACTCCACACTGATCTATTTTGTAAGAGAGAGGGTTTATGTTGCTCAGGTTGGCCCTGGGCTCAAGCAGTCCTGCCTCAGTCTCCCAGTAGCTGGGATTACAGGCACACTGTGCTACCCTGTCTGATAATGTATGACTTTTTACATCAATTTTCTATTCAAAAAGCAGAACTTAAGAGTTGTGTTTAGTTTTATAATCATCCTCATGATATCTTTCTATAAACATTTCATTTCTACAAATGAGAAAATAAAGAAGCTAAAGTAAACCAACTAAAATATAAGTGCTAGATTTACATTCTGACTTGGGACTTGGGGTGTAGCTCAGCGGTAGTGCTTGTCTAGCAAGTGCAAGGCTCTGGGTTCAGTCCCTGCACTGCTTAAACAATGACTAAAATGTAATAAAGCTCATGCTGGGAAACCATCAACAGTAAGCAGGAGTCCTATGTGCAGGAGCCCCCTCCTCAGAAGAGTGTGAATGCTGAAAAGCCAGGACACACCAGACACACCATAGGAATGGGATGCTCGTTCCTTTGTCATCATTAGAGAACTTTATTCTTCCTGCATTTTACTGGCTCTGATGGTGCTGGAGACGGGACCCAGGGCCCCCTGCAGGCCAGGCACACACTGTACCTGCTACTAAGTGACATTTCCAGTTTCTTCTGATCATCTTTGAAAAGAAGTGTGAACCATTTTGGTTTTAGAAAATTAAGTTTGATAAAAGGTACTAAAAAAAGTCATTCATGGAATAAAATTCATCATTCCTTCTTATAAATCACTCAGTGAATTTTATACCATAATTTTCTTCATTTTGGAAATTCACTTAGACACGACATTTCTTATCTTCTTGATGCAACGTTCTCTTCTCCACCCAAACTCACGGACGTTGGACCAGCCTACTCTTACTTCCTTCCTGTTCACTGAGTTTAAAGTGGGTGTAGGCTAGAATGCCAAATAGTGTACATAAAATGCCAAGTCCCTGATTAACAGACAGCGGATCCTTAAATAAAACGTATCCTCCACAGAGGGTAATGCAGAACTTGAAGTGTCCGAACATGTTGTAGCTGAGGTGTTTGGATAAGAAGAAAAACGAGTAACAAGCTGGATATAAAGCTCACACATGTGCACATAAATAGTACATGCACACACAGCAAAGGCTTCCTGTGGCTGGAAAGAATTTCATGTATCACAGACTAGACAGCTAGCACACCATTTAAAGAACAGACAAGACACACTGGACGTGGTGGTGCACACCTTTAATTCCAGCACTTGGGAGGCAGAGGCAGGAGGATCTTTTTGCCTGGTCTACATAGTGAGTTCCAGGACAGCTGAGGCTACAGGGAGAACCTGTCTCAAAAAAAAAAAAAAAAAAAAAAAAAAAAAAAAAAGAGCAGACAGACACTCATGACATGCTGGGCCAATCTGACTTTCCTCAGGCACGTTTTAGAAACTTGAGTCTCAAAATGGTGACACTGTATATATTCTTCGAGGCTGGACCTAAGCCACATACCCCCCCGCCTGCCACTCTATTGCTCCTGAAATGACAAACGACAAGACATGCTCCTTTTGACCTCTCCAAAGAGGTAACACAAGGTGAGAAAGGAAATTCAAAGCAAGGTATAGAGAAGATACATTGCACAGCAGTTTATGCTGTTGTATGGTTGCATTCCTAATAAACTGTCCCTGCCAATGGGTGAGATGTGTCAGGTGCCAGGAAGCTAACTCAATGGAAACTGCCAGTATGCCTAAGGTCAGGAAGGTGAGGGGGCGAGGCATAGGAGTGGGAGCAATACTGAGCACCAGCCACACTCTGCTAGGCTCTGCAGCACCCTCTCCATAGCATCTCATCTTCCTCTACTCTGCCCATTGTACAGTGCTTGTAGTTTGGAGATTTTAACTGAAAAATATTGTATTTGGGGCCTGGAGAGATGAGTCAGTGGTTAAGAGTGCTTCTTGTAGTGGACCTGGGTTCAGGCCCCAGCACCCACATGATGGCTAACAACTGGCTGTAAACTTCAGTTCCAGGGTATCCAACACCCTCTTCTGGCCTCCACAGGCATTGCACACACAGGTGCACTTACATACATACAGACAAAACACTCACACATAAATTTATAAATACTGTATTTGTTTACTATCTGTGTGCCTATGCATGGCATAGTGCTTCTGTGCAAGTTAATAGACAACTTATAGGAATTAGTTCCCTCCTTGTGGGTCCCAGGGATGAAACTCAGGTCACCAGGCTTGGTAGAAAGGCTACCTGCTGAGTCATCTCATCCAAGCCACTTTAATTACCAGATCACAGAGTTTGAATGTTGGGATGGGTCTATTTAACTCCAAAGTCCAGGCTGTAATACAGTACACTGCCAGCAATTCATTGCTGGATTCAAGTGTTTCCCAAGTCACTGTTCATATGAAAAAAATTCAAATCATACACATACCTCAAAAATTAATCTCTTCTCATATTTTTCTATATAAACTGATATTGTATTGCTCTTCAGAGTCATGCTATGAATCAACCTCTCTGTCTGTCTCTCTCTTCCTTTCCCTCTCCCCTCAGTTTCAAGAACAATGCACATGTTTTTGGGAGGTTGAAGCAAAAGGATTGGGAATTCAAGGTCATCCTCAGCTACATAGTTTGAGACTAGCATAGGGTACATAAAACTGTCTCATAAAACAGAAACAACCAATCCAAAAAAAGAGATCTACTCAGTAGCCTGGAACTCTGAGAAGCACCTCAGAGGACTCTGGATTCAAGTGTTTCCCAAGTCACTGTTCATATGAAAAAAATTCAAATCATACACATACCTCAAAAATTAATCTCTTCTCATATTTTTCTATATAAACTGATATTGTATTGCTCTTCAGAGTCATGCTATGAATCAACCTCTCTGTCTGTCTCTCTCTTCCTTTCCCTCTCCCCTCAGTTTCAAGAACAATGCACATGTTTTTGGGAGGTTGAAGCAAAAGGATTGGGAATTCAAGGTCATCCTCAGCTACATAGTTTGAGACTAGCGTGGGGTACATAAAACTGTCTCATAAAACAGAAACAACCAATCCAAAAAAGAGATCTACTCAGTAGCCTAGAACTCTGAGAAGCACCTCAGAGGACTACAGAAGGGGTCATAGGGTACTTGAATTTCCTTCCTTCCTTCCTTCCTTCCTTCCTTCCTTCCTTCCTTCCTTCCTTCCTTCCTTTTTAGCCAAGGCTGTCCTGGAGCTCACTAAGTAGACCAGGCTAGACTTGAACTCACAGAGCTACACCTGTCTCTGCCTCCTGAGTCCTTGGGATCAAAGGCGTGTGCCACCATTCTGGCCTTGGCACTTGCATTTCTTGACTGAATGGAGGCAATATCCTGAGATGCAGAGGATGCTCCCAAGGATGTTTATTTTTATTTATTTATTTTTTGGTCTTTTTGAGACAGGTTCTCCCTGTAGCTCCAGTTGGCCTAGAACTCGCTCTATAGACCAGGCTGGCCTTAAACTCATAGACATCCACCTGCTTCTGCCTCTTGAGTGCTGGGATTAAAGGTGTGCACAACCACACTTGGCTCCAAGGATGTTTATTACAATAAAATATGACTTACATGCCAGGCGTGGTGGTGCATACCTTTGCTCCCTTTAATCCCAGGTATGCTGGGGCTAGGAAGATTCTGTAAAAATAAGACAACAAAAAAATAAAATATGTCTTACTCTCAATTATGACCAATCTTCAAGCTTACTGGTTCTAATCTCGTACCTTTATTTCCTTACTCCTTAGCCTCTTTTAAGCAGTTCATGGTCTACTAAAGACATTTATGCCAGGTGTTGTGGCACAGACCTTTACTCCCAGCACTTGGGAGGTAGAGGCAGGAGGATCTCTGTAAGTTCAAGGCCAGCCTGGTTTACAGTGAGTTCTAGGCCATTTGGGGCCACAGGAAGACCCTATTTCAAAAAGACCAAAAACAAACAAACAAACGAACAAAGTTATTTACTAACAGGGAAAGCAAATTTAATGAAACTCTTTAGTGACTGACTCTCTTATAAATTAAAAATAAAAGTGCAGTCTGTGTTTTTGGAATCTCCCAATACTCTCTAGTTCTTCCTCTGCTCCAGGCAGGCTTTAGTACCACCTTCAAAGTGCTCATGTCAAAACCAGCAGTGACGTGACACACCTCACTAGGCCTCAGGGCCAACTGCTAGTCTTCCTGAAACCTGACACAGTGGTTCCTAGCCCCGCCTCCTAGTTCCTCTCACCTCTATGAACTCTAAAGATGAAGTGCCCCAGGACTCAGCCTTTGCAGGTGTTTTCTTCTACTTGTCTTGTTGGTAATCACTTGAAACCACATCTACAAACTGCAGACTCAGGAATCCCTCCAGCTGAGACCTTGCTCTGAACCCTGCACACTGGGCACCTGCGCTCTATCTATATCTCAGACCTTTTCTAGACTGGCCTATCTCACTGGCCGGCTACTCCAAACCCCATGTAATCCAACCCTGCTGCTTTTCATTCTCCATATCTAACTGGTCAGTAAAACCTGTGGGTGCTACTTGGAAATACACCCAGAAGCCATTCCCTTCTTATTGACCCATCCTGGTAACAAGGTAGCACTTAAAAAAAAAGATTTATTTTTATTATTTTTGTGTCTGTGTCTGTGTGAGTATATGCAGGGGAAGGCCAAAAGAGGGCACCGAGTGCTCTTAACCGCTGAGCCATCTCTGCAGCCCCACATACTAGTCAGAAACCACAGAGGCCTCCGGACATTTTGCCTTCTTCTCTTACCTCCTTTAGTCCAGTTTTCCTTGACCATGTGAGCAATGTCTGCAGGCATTTTGAGTTCCTAGAATGGGGGTGGAGCTGGGGTGCTACTGAAATCTAGTGGCAGAGGCATGTCAAGCTGCTACCCACCCTGAAAGGACAGACAGACCTCCAAAGACAGCACAATCCAGTCCAAGTTAAAGAGGGCGAGAGAGCCTGCTTTTGTCTGTTCAGCACTGTGACTACAGTGCTTCTGTGAGAATACAAGGATCATGTCACATCTCTGAGTGGCTCCTGCTCACGCAGTCTCAGTCCTTCTGGGAAAGCTCCATATGGTCCAGCTCACCCTTTCCTCTCCTTCCAGTGCTCGTCGACTTCAACTGCACATGTACCCCTGCTCCCCGGGCCCCTCATGTGCTATTGCCTTTGTTGGAGTCTTCCTCCCTGCCAATCTGCATACAGCAACCTCATTTCCTTAAAAGTCACCTTCCTGGGGCTGGAGAGATGGCTATCTGCTCTTACAGAGGACCTGGGTTCGAGTCCCAGCACCCACATGGTGGTTAAAAACCATCTGTAGCTCCAGTTCCAGGGGATCTGATGCCTTCTGACCTCCTGGGGCACTGCACGACATGGGTGCACTTAACATGCAGGGAATACACTCATATACATTCCCCCCCAAAAAAAGTCACCTTCCTACTGAGGCCATCTGACTAGCCTACCCAAACTCCAAACACTTCATATTTGCCTTCCTGCTTTGCTTTTTTCTCAGTGGTACTTAACACTGCTTATATATATTTAACTCTTTTTTTTTTTTTCATTTTGTAGTTTGGCATCTTCACTAGAATTTAAGTTTGTAAAGACAACAATTTTGATCTGCTTGGTCCAATACTATACCCCCAGTGGCTGACATATGGCAGATGTTCAGTATATAAAGATTTATTAAATCAATTAATGGTCTGCAGTGCTTATTCAGTAAACATTTGTTGAATGAATGTTTTTAATTGGGGAACAGTCCTGGATGCCTTGATTTGACAGCATGAAGCATAACTTGTGGACTAGACAACTAGCCTCTAATCTGTGCACTATTCTTCCCAGCTGTGCACTTCTGCTTCTCTTTCTGTAATGGAGATTGAACTTGGGCTCTGCTTTTGCCAACAAACACTCTACCATGGGGCTACAGTCCCTTGTCCTTCACTTGTTTGGGCTTTCCAATCTCTGACGAGAATCACATGGATCTGTACACGACAGTACCTAGCAGACAATAAATACTTAGTACTGGGGTTTTACAAAGAAACTATCATTGTTATTAATGATAGCTGGAAAATATGCTACTTATACTTCTGACATCTCAGTAGTCACTCATTTATATAAACCAGCATAGTTTTTTTTCCTTCAGTTATTATTTTTTTTTTTTGGTCTTTATGAGATAGGGTTTCTCCATAGCCCCAGCTAACCTAGAACTCACTATGTAGACCAGGGTGGCCTTGAATTCACAGAGATCCACCTGCCTTTGCCTCCTGAGTGCTGGGATCAAAGGCATGCACCACCATGCCTGGCTTTTTCTTCAGTTTTTAGAAACACAGTCTCAGTTTATAGCCCAGGGTGGCTTCAAACACATATCCATCACATCTTGCTTTGAATCAATACGCTCTTCTAAAAAAAACATTTGTAAACTACTTCTTTGATATGAGAAAATCCATCCTTTCATTTGCCTAAAAGCACAGCAAAGTGCAATGGAGAGACAAGCAGAGTGGTGAAAAACTGGCGCTGTGCTGGACCCGCAACACCTGCCTTCGTTTTTTATTTGAAATATTAAAGAAACAGGCACACCCATATCCAAATAAATAACACTCCAAAATCAAGGGTGTGAAATTATCTTTTGTTATATAAGTTAACCATACCTCTACTTTATTACTACAGATCATTGAAAACTCATTAAAGCCTAAACTGTCACCCCATACTTCATTTAATAAATAGCACTGAGACCTCACTATCTGCAAGTCATGATGCTAAGTCAATTTCTAAAAGGAAAAAGGTCAGTAGTAGTACTTAAGAATACTCAAAGACATTCCTACTACCAAAAGCAAACTCATTTCCTCAGTTACCAGATTCCAGACTCTAGTGTGGAAAGACGGTTAAAAATTAAGAACGGGGCTGGAGAGCCAGCTCAGCAATTAAGAACACTAGCTGCTCTTGCAGAGGACCTGGGTTCAGTTCCCAGCATCCATATGGCAGCTAACAACTGTCTGTAACTCCAGTTCCAGGGGAATCTGGTGCCCTCTTCTGACCTCCAAGAACATTACAAACATAGGTACACTTACATACATGTAGGCAAAACACACATACACATAAAAATAAATATCATTCCCCCCCCCACCTTTGGTCTTTTGAAACAGGGTCTCTTTGTAGCCCCAGCTGGCCTGGAACTCACTATGTAGACCAGGCTGGCCTTGAACTCACAAAGATCCGCCTGCCTCTGCCTCCCAAGTGCTGGGACTACAGGCATGTGCCACCACACCCGCTATAAATAAATATCTTCAAGAAAAATAAAAAATAGGGTTAGTGGCCCATACCTTTAATCCCAGCACGTAGGAAGCAGAGGCAGGTGGATCTAAGAGAAATTGAGGCCAGCCTGGTGTACATAGCAAGTTCCAGGCCAGCTGGGGCTATGGGGAGACCTTGTCACAAAAACAAATAACAACAATCTCCCCCACAACACAAATAATTCAATCTACTCACTGTAGGCCGTAGTATGAGACTCAAAGGTAACGAATGGGACAGTTTTGGAGAACAAAGACTGGGCACATCTGAAAGTTATTATGGAAAGGATACGTGACTGGTGATGTGTTCCCGATGATCCAGTAGATGGATAAATTCACCATGAAAGCTATCACTCCAGACAGCAACACCACAAGCTGCAAACCAAGAACATGTTTGATTAGGCATTTAAATTTTATTTATCTATTTGTATTTTATGAATGTTGGGCTGCATGTAAGTGCATGCAATGTCTGAGGAGGACAGAAGAGGGTATTGGATCCCTTGGAAATGGAGTTACATTAGCATTATTAGCACTTTTAAAAACTCAAATTTCGGGGCTGGAGAGATGGCTCAGCAGTTAAGAGGACTTGCTGACCTTGCAGAGGACCCGGGTTCTCTGCCACATGTCAGCTAACAATTGTCCATAACTCCAATTCCAGGTGATCCAATGTGGGCACTGCATGCACAGTGGTGCACTTACATCCAGGCAAAACCCTCATATACATAAAATAAAAACAGTATGTTTTTTTTTTTTTAAAAAAAAAGGATTAAAAAAAGTCTATTTCAACCATTAAAACAAGGTGGCACACATCTGTAATCTCAGCAGTAAGGAGGAAGAGGCAGAAGGTCCACTGGAAGTTCAAGGCCAGCCTGGTCTACACAGTGACAGTCAGAGCTACACAGCATGACCATGTTCTAAACAAAAAAGCACCCTACAAAAAACAAGGTTAAAGAATCAACTTGGAATGCAGCAAGAATTCTGAGTAAATAAGTAAAATAAACAGTATGAAAATTATAACTGTCTACAAATTAGTGGAAAAAATCTGCAAAAATCTGTGGTGGTGCAGGTTTATAATCCCAGCATTTGGGAAGTACAGGCAAAAGGATTAAAAATTCAAGGAAAGCCAGGTGGGATGGCACATCCCTTTAACCCCAGCACTCAGATGGCAGAGGCAGGTAGTTATCTGTGATTGAGGCCAGCCTGGTCTACATAGTGAGTTCCAGGACAGCTGGGGCTACAGTGACACTCTGTCTCAAAAATAACAACAGCAGGGGCTACAGAGATGGCTCAGTGTTTAAGAGCCTCTTGCAGAGGAGCCAGCTTCGATTCCCAGCATCTGTACGGTGGCTAACAACTGTCTGTAACTGCAGGTCCAGGGGAATCCGACACCTTCTTCTGATCTCCTTAGGCACTGCATGACACGGGTACACTTACATGCATTAAGGTAATACACTCATACAAATAAAATAAAAATAAGAAAATATTTCTAAAATAACAAGGAAGACTAGGCTACATAGTGAGTTTGACTACATGAGACCATGTCTCAAACAAACAATAGCTGGCCTCAAACCTCTGGACCCAAGGACTCCTTTGGTCTCAGCTTCCTGAGCACCTGAGATACAGGCATGTATCACTGAGCCCAGCTATAATAAATACTTATTAAAAGTGTACATATACATTATAGAAAAAGCAAAAAGTGCTGGGCATGGTGGCGCACGCCTTTAATCCCAGCACTCGGGAGGCAGAGGCAGGCGGATCTCTGTGAGTTCAAGGCCAGCCTGGTCTACATAGTGAGTTCCAGGACAGCTGGGGCTACAGGGAGACCCTGCCTCAAAAAGACCAAAAAAAAAAAAAGGCAAAAGCAAAAAGTAGGGACTGGAGAGATGGCTCAGCAGTTAAGAACACTGGCTGTTCTTGCAGAAGAGAAGACCAGGGTTTGAATCCCAGCACCCACATGGCAGCTAACAACTGTCCGTAACTTCATTTCCACGGAATCCGACAGCCTCTTCTGTCCTCCACGGCCACTGCACGACACAGGTTCACTTACCTACAGGCAGACAATACACGCATACACATAAAAATAATAAATAAAATGAAAAGAAAAGAAAAAGCAAAAAAAAAAAAGATAAGTAAAAGGTCTAAAGAGTATCTGTAATCTTAGCTATCACCACATCTGCTAACATTGTGGCATGGACATCTTATAGATCTTTTTCTGTTGAATTGCTTATTTTTATTCTTATTTATATTAAATCAATAAACCTTTACTGGATAACTACACAATCAGGCCAGGACTTGTGAGAAACATAGTATGCACAAAGTTCCTGTCCTCAAAGGACTTAGAAACCACTTAAAGATAACAAAAATCATGATATGGGGCTGTGGAGATGGCTCAGCTGGTAAAGCGGTTGTTGTGCAAGCCTGAGGTCCTGAGCCTGGAGCCCCAACACCCATGTAAAAGCTGGGACTTGGGGCGTGTGCTTGTAATCTCAATGCTGAGGAGGTGGAGTGGGAGGATCCCTGGGGCTTGCTGGCCAGCCAGTCTAACCAATTGGTGAACTCCAGTTCAGTGAGAGACCATGCCTTAAAAAATAAGGTGAAGGGGCCACAGAGGTGACTCAGCAGTTGAGGGCACTTACTGATCTTCCAGAGGATCCAGGTTTGGTCCCAGCACCCATATGGTGGCTAACAACTGTCTGTAACTCCATTCATAGGATCCTATACCTTCTTCTGGCCTTCATGGGCATTGCATGCGGGTGGTATGCTCATATACATGCAAGCAAAACATGTATACATACAAAATTAAAATAAATAAGGTTTTAAAAAAAAAATAAGGTGAAGAACAAGTAAGGAAGATGCCCAGCGTCAACCTGGCCTGGATGTGCAGGCACACACACCCACGGACACAAACACACACACAATACATGTAATCAATCATGATGACCAAAATTCATATGTTCATTATATTTTTTTTTGAGACAGGGTCTCCCTATGCAGCCCTGGTTGACTTGGGACTCATTACGAGACCATGCTGGTCTTGAACTCCCAGAGATCACCTGTCTCTGCCTCCTGAGTGCTGGGATTAAAGGTGTATACCACCATGCCTGGCTTTATATAAAAATTTTTTTGTGTTAAGAACTGTTGTAAATACTTTACGTAGATTAACTTGTTTTAATCCTCACAAAGAACCATGAAGCAGGTAGAGAAATATGATCCCTATTTACAGATAAGAGCACAGAAAGGCAGAGTGGCCAGCCACAATCACATAGCCAGTGAGGAACAGTGCTGAGATTTAAACCCAGGCATGTGGTTCCTCCTCACCCTCCTGCTAGGCTACTTCTTCTTTTTTTTTTTTTTTTTAATATTTTATTTATTATTTTAATTTTTTTTTTTTATGTGTATGAGTGTATGTGAGTGCACCCGTGCAGTGCAATGCCACAGAGGTCAAAAGAGGGCTTTGGATTCCCCTGGAACTGGAGTTAAGGACAGTTCATAGCCACCATGTGGGTGCTGGGAATCGAACCCGGGTCCTCTGCAAGAGCAGTCAGCGCTCTTAACCACTGAGTCATCCGTCCAGCCTGTGCTAGGCTACTTCTTAACTAGGAGAGTGCAACAGAAGGTTTACAGATCTGGCACTGAAAGAAAATGAGTCTTGAGATCTATGTCACTGAGCAGGAGAGGTCACTCTGAGGTAAGATAAAGTGTCTGAATTTTAAAAATATATATAGGGAGGGGGCTGGAGATATGGCTCAGCAGTTAAGCACACATACTGTTCTTCCAGAGGACCCAAGTTTAGTTCCATGCTGGACAGCGCACAAGCCCTTGTAACTCCAGCTCCAGGAGGATCCGATGCTCTGATCGCGGAGGGCACCTGCACTCACGTGCACATACCCCCAACACAGGCACACACATATCTATACATGTAATACGTATTAATACAAATAAATATTTTCCCCTTTAAAAGCACATATAGACACAAGAAAGAAGAAAGGGTGGGGTTCCAAGCACAGGGAGGCAGAGGTCAAAGTGTGGAGTCATGAAAGCACAGACATGTGACCACTGTGTGCACAGTGTTCTGCTGAAACCTGCCTCACAATATTATTTAAAGGTTGCAAGATCACTTTCTTCCTCTCCAAAGAACTGGGTTAAAATACTAGCTAGGACAAACTATTAAGACATCTAAATTTCAAAGAAAACACGTCATGTGTGAGGATACTTCCCACCCCATGTAGGTTCTATCACCTTTAAAATCAGTGAGTGGTGAGGACCTGAGCAGTTGGGCTCGTGTCCTATTCAGGTAAGTGCAGCAAAGCCGCATTGGATCTGCAGCAGTGATAGCTGCTCAGCAGTCCAGAAAACTCACATGCCTATTCCATGATGACTTGGCACATAATTAAAAAGAGGATCATATACTCTGAGTCACTGATGCCTTCAGGGACAGAAAGGAGTGAAAATGACTTTCTCTCATGGTAAATGGCCTCAGCTTGCAGTGCTCTTACAGCCTCAGTTACTTTCTATGACTTTCCCGTGCTTTTCTCTTTTGTAAGTCTGTTAAGGGCCACCACAAAAAACCTCTATCAAAATTTCAGGTGTCTAAGCTTTGAGGATTGAAGCCCAGATAATCCAGATGGCTAGGACTATGATAAAGCTTAAGGAAGCATTATCTGAGAGATGCTCCATTGATTTCTATTCTAGAAAAAGCACATACGTCACTGGTCTCATGGGCAGGAGACTGTTTAAGAATATGGAGTCTAGTGGTTAGGGGGTGGCTCAGTCAGTAAAATGCTTGCTGCACAAGCATGAGAACCTGAGTTTGGATCCTCAGCGCCCATGTAAAAAAGCTGGGACTGACTGCAGACACCTGTAATCTCAGCACTAAGGAGGCAGAAACAGATCCAACAGAGCTTGCTAACTAGCCCAGTAGAATCAGTGAGCTCAGGTTCAGTGAGACCCTGCCGCAAAAAAAATAAGGTGGAAAACAGTGAGAAAGACACCTGACACTTACCTCTTGCTTCCACATGCACACGCGCACATACACATGTATGTGTTCTTGCACACACTAAGAATATGGGGTAGTGGTGGATGTATGAACTTTCAGATACTCAGAAGCCTGAGCAGGGAGGATCACTTGTGTCTGGGAGTTTAACCACTTTAACACAAAACAGGGCTGGAGAGAGAGCTCAGTGGATAAAAGCACTTGCTGCCAAGCCTGATGACCTGAGTTCAATTCCTGGGACTCACATGATAGAAAGAGAACCAACCTGTACAAGTTGTCCTCTAACTGCACGCGCGCACACACACACACACACACACACACACACACACACACACACACAATGTAATTAAAAAGAAAAAGAAAACAAAGCAATCACAAAAGTGGAATTGAGGGGATGCTTAGAGTAGCTTGGTAGCAAAGCATCTGTCATTATACATGATGATGCCCTGGGTTCTAGTCCCAACCCAAAAAAGAAGAGGAAAAAAAAGGACTTTGGAGCTTGAATGCATGAGTTCAAATCATTTTGGTTCTGCTTATTAGCTGGGGAATCTTGGGCTGATTTTTTAATTGTCTATCAGTTTCCTTATCAGTTAAAATTAGAGATAAAACTAATATTGACCTAATATAAGATTAGGAGGAGTAAACTGGCTAATATTGAATAGCACTAGGACAGATTAAGGACTGCATGAGTGTTTGTTAAATCAACACTACCAACAGAAAGACACTCCCACTGGGTGTGGGAGCTCACACTTGTAATCTAGCACTTGGGAGGCTGTAGTTTGAGGCTAGCCTGGGCTACATAATAAGTACTAGGACAGGCAGGTCTACATAGCAAGACCCTGTCTCACAAAGCAAAAACCAAACAAACAAACAAAAAGACTAAGTATTAGCATTGTGGGAAACAAATTTCTTATAAGTAAGGTATTATGGACTATTTGTGCTTCCCAATATTTGCATATTGAAATTGCAAGTCCTAGTCAGGAGGTGACTAAGGCAGAGGGCAGAACCCTCAGGACTCTTAAGGAGAGGATAGGCACATTCTCACGTGCCTCTCCTCTCCCTGTCAGGTGAGGATCCAGAAGATGGACATCTGTGAACAGAAGGGCCTTACAGCAAACCCTACCAAGCTGACACCCTGATCTCAGGCTGCCAGCCTACAGAGCTGAGAGAAGCAAGTGTGTGCTAATTAAGCCAACCAATGCCTGACATTTCTGTAACAGCAGCCTGAAATGAGTCAGTCAGAAGGAAAGACTTTCTGGCTTAGAATGTCCCTAAGGTCCATACACTTGTGACCTGTTAATTCCACGCATAGAACTGTATTCCATCAGGAGGAAAGTAGTGGTATCAACACACATGACACATGTACAAGGATGTCAATGCAGCATTGTTCACAGTGATAAAGAACAGGGAAAAAAATGATTATCCAAAAGGTACTATTATGCAAACCAAACCAAACAAACAAAAAAGGGATCATATGGAGAGTTAAGTAAGAACAGCAATATACAGAAAAGCAGGGCTGGAGATGGAACCCAGTTGATAGGGTGCTACCCTGTCTAGCATACACAGCCCTGGGTTCAATTCTCAGATCTACATAAACAGGGCACAGTGGTACACACTTGTAATCCCAGCACTTAGGAGGTGGACGCAGGAGGGTCAAAATGTCAAGGTCATTTCTGGCTATAGCAAGTTTAGACTAGCCTGGGCTACAGAAGACCCAGTCTCAAACAAACAAACAAACAAACAAACAAACAAACAAACAAAGCCAGGCACTACATTTATAATCCTGGCACTTGGGAGGCTAAGGTAGGAGAACTGTCAGGAGTTCAAGGCCAGAGTAAAACTGTCTCAAATATAAAACCAGAAAAGCATGTGTAGGAGTTGAAGACCAAGCTTTCCTGGGTTAGTTAAGAACAACAACAACAACAACAAAATCCCTACAAATGTATGCATTACTTAGAACTGAAGAATCATTGTTTATATTGGTCACACGGGGTGGGGTTTTTTACGCCTTTAATCCCAGCACTGGGGAGGCAGAGGCAGGTGGATCTCTGTAAGACTGAGGCAAGTCAGGTCTACATAGTGAGTCCCAGGCCAGCCAGGGCTAAAGTAGAGAGTGATCAAGACACTTACCATCAACCTTTGGCTTCTACAGTCAGGCATATACACATGTATGTGCACCCCCTCCAAACATATACATATACCACACATACACAACCCCCCAAATGTGTGTGTTTATATATATGTAGCAAGGAGAAAAATAAGAAAGAAACAAATGCTAGAATGCAAATATGACTTATTTTAAGGGGCACAAAAGGGGTAATGTGAGGCTAAAGTGTGTATGGAGAGGAGTGTTGGGGAAAAGAAACCAGGATAAAAACAGCACATATGTGGAGAGAGCAGTTAAGAGTGCTTATTGCTCTTCCAGAGGACCTGGGTTTATTTCCCAGTAGCCACATGGTGGCTAACAACTGTCTGTAACTTCAGTTCCGGAGATCTGATGCCCTCTCTGGCCTCTGAGGGCATTGCATGCATGGGTACACTTAAACATATGCAGGGAAAACACTCATACCCATAAAATGAAAATAATAAATACATTTAAAACCAGCATATATGGTATAATTCCATTATATAAAACCACACATAAACACACACACACACACACACACACACACACACACACATACTGCACCTCCCTCAATATAGAAGTCTATATAAAAAATGGGATCCATTAAATGGTCAGAGCCAGGTGATAAAGGAACATCTTGGTGTAGTGAGCTTCTTCAGGGACTCCACTTTCTTTGCATTTTTATGTGTGTTCAAAATCTAACCAATGAGATTGTATTATTTATATTGAAATAAAGCCAGTACATTTTACATTTACTCTGTAAAAACATAAAATTAAAATACAATGCCCAAATTATGTGGGAGCGCTGGTTTGGCACTGACAGAACAGTAACCCAGTATCTGAAGATCTGAACTGCAGTCTGCTTTGCCACTGTCCAGCTGTTCCAGCCTAGGCCAGTCCTTCTACATTCCTAGATCTCAGTTTCTTCATCTGAAAAATAACATTCACCCTGCTTTCCTTAGAGGGTGACTGTGAAGATTAAATGTGAGAACAGATTTGAGACCATTAGAAAAGGAGAGATGATGATTATACTGTTTCACACACTTCAGACTTACCAAAGCAGAAACTGACCAGGGACCAAATATTCCTCCCTCTCCAAACACTGGCTCAAAGAAGGGCACAGCTACCAGCAGCATGGCAGAAGACATGGGAGCCTGGTAATACAGCAGCTGCATGGAGTTGACTTGCAATTCATGCTGCTTGGCTCCAACCCACTGAAAATTAGGAGATAAAACAATCAGACACAATGAAAAGTATCACTCAGCCGAAGACACAGGTCTTACTACACAGGTCTTAGCTACACAGATGTAAGTGGGGGAGTTGGGGGGGGGTAAAGGCTGCGGGGATGGGGTGGGAGGATGTGCCTCATTATTCTACAGAGCTCAGAGTGGGAAGTTAAGATGCCCCTTAAGCAGCTTTAATAAGAGGAGCTCTGTGAATACGGTATGTGATCATCTAGTCATTTCTCAATTCCTCAGATGAGGAAAAGCCCCCTCTACTTCCTGATTCTACTAAACAGAGGAAAAGAAATGCACGCAGAAGCCCGTAAGAATCAGGAATAGTGGGAAATGAGGAGGGAATTTAGGAGAGTAGTGGGACCCTAATGGCAGTTCCAGATTTGCTTCACTAAACAGAGGAAAAGAAATGCACGCAGAAGCCCGTAAGAATCAGGAATAGCGGGAAAATGAGGAGGGAATTTAGGAGAGTAGTGGGACCCTAATGGCAGTGCCAGATTTGCTTTCTTATGGAAGAACGGAAGAACAGCCAGGTGTGGTGGTGCACGCCTTTAATCCCAGCACTTGGGAGGCTGAGGCAGGTGGATCTCTGTGAGTTCAAGGTCAGCCTGGTGTACATAGTGAGTTCCAGGACAGCTGGGGCTACAGGGAGACCCTGTCTCAAAAAGACCGAAAAAAACAAAGAACAAAAACAATTAACTAGAACCTGTCTTATGCATGGTGGATGCACGCCCATGTGTGTGGCTTCAAGGGAACGTGGACTTTTGAGTCACTTTAGAAACCCAATCAGTAGTAGAAGCTTTCCTCCCACAAGAACTTTTCTGTGGGTAGGATTCCCACTTGCACGGATGACCATCAGCCCTAAAATATTGTATCATTCAGTAAAAACCTTAAAACCTCACATCCCATGTCCTCAAAATGTTACACAAATAGGACTGAAAAGGCGGCTCTGAAGAATGCTCTAGGGACAGTTCAAATATCAATTAGGAACAGCCTGGATCTTGACTAACTTCTCCTGTCCTATTTTTCCTATGTCTAGGTGCCTGTTACACAATCTCTAAGTCTATAGGAATTTACCAAGATCAAAATGGAAAAGCAGGAAATTTGAAGCACACGCCTGCCAGCTTTAACTAGGAGTCTTCTGAGAACATGCAGGACAAAGAAGGCATTCTTCTGCAGCACGCTCTGGAGGGTGGAACAGTGAGCGAAAGCAGGACAGCTGCAGACACTCAGGCTCACCCCCTGCCTCTGGTAACCTGGCTGTTTGCCACACAACTGGTGGGCCCCGACATCTCAGCCCAACTTCTGGCACCACTCCTCCCACATCTTCTAAAGGGCACCATCACCACCCACGGCCATATCCACTGCCATCTTTTCCTGCTGTCACCTACAGCGCTCTCCTCCTTCCTTGATTTTTTTTTTTAGGATGCTGGGATGTAACACAGGGCTTAGTGCATGCTAGGCAAGCACTCTATCACTAACTATACCCTCTGAGTGTCCGAACTCACTGCCTACAGCTTCCAGGCCATTTTCAATTAGCTTGCAGGAACTTGTTTAAAATCAAACTCCTTGGCGAACGCCTTTAATCCCAGTGCTCAGGAAGCAGAGGCAGGCGAATCTCTGTGCATTCAAGGCTACAGGGAGATCCTGTCTCAAAAAAATAAAATCAAAACTCTTCTGTCTGCAAACCAGCTTCTCTTGTGCTGCTCTGCTAACTAATGCTATCACCTGCAGATCCTTACTCTCCTGGCTTGCATATTCAGTCAGGTCCTACTAATTCTTCCTCCAAAAGGACCTCACTTTCCCATGTTCACGCCACTGCCCCAGCCCAGACCCTTCCTGTCTCCCCTTGAAGCACCACAGGTTCCTAGCTGTGCTACCTGTCACTCTTCGGCACTCTTCATTGTAACTAGAGTAATTTTTCTTTCTTTTAAAATTATATTTTAGTATTTTTAAAATTTTATGTATTTGAGTATATTGCCTGCATGTATATAAGTGCTCCTATGTTGTGCAATGCCCATGGAGGTCAGAAGAGGGTATCGGGTTCCCTGGAACTGGAGTTATAGATGGTTGTTATCTGCCATGGGGGTGCTGGGATTCGAACTGGTGTCCTCTGCAAGGGCAGCCAGCTTAACTGCTGAGCCATCTCTCCAGTCCTGAGTAATTTTTTTCTTAAATACAAGGAACCATAAAGGCACTCCCAGTCTAAACTCTTCTGCTCATGCCTGCAGAGTAAAGACTCCTTGTGACACCAAGATTCTGCCATCTGGTTTTGGCAGAATCTCAGCCTTGTCTTCTCACTATGCACCTACAGTCTAGCCTCACTAAACACATCAAGTATGCTCTGTACTTTCACACATATTACAAGGAAAGACCTGCTAAGCTGTCACTGCTGACTGAATTTTTGTGCCTCCAATTTAAATGACCCTTCCCTCAAATCTCGCCTCATCGCTGAGTGTAGATCAGCCATTTCTTTGTTGGACTGAGGACTTTCCTCAGCCTTCAGGCATACTCCTGAGATGAGCTGTCCGCTTGTCAGTTTCCATGTGCATCTTGTAGGGTTGGATTATAGGCTGCTTTTCCTCTTTGTATCCTCAAGGATGAGCAAAAAGGTACAATGCCTGCTGAGCAGACCAGTCAATCATCTTTCTACAACTAAAGAGCAGAGGACTCTTCTCTGACCTCCTCCCCAGTGGTGGAAGAACAAAGAAACTACATTAGGATACAACAGGCAGGTGCAACTTTCTTTAAAAGGAAAAATTTTTTTGAGGAGGGGAGGGGAGGATCTACCTATTTTGGCATAGTACTTGTACTGTTTGTTGATGATGGAACTTTTGCCCATTAGTTAGTCCCCAATCATTCCTTTGTCAATCTCACTGCAAACATCTACCTCAGGGATAAACAATGATTCTAATCTACAGCAATTCTGAAACGTGTGTCAACAATGGCCATAATAACAGTGAGTATCGTGAACTGAAATGACATATAAGGGGTACAAGATATTCTAATATTTAATAGTAAGTCAGATGTGGCGACACATGCCTATTATCCTTTCTCAAATAGTAAAAAGAGGACGAGCAAGATGGCTCAGTGGACAAAGGTGCCTGCTGCTAAGCCTGACTGCCTGAGTTCAATCAAGAGATCCAAATGTTAGAAGGAAAGAACTGACTCCACAAGTTACTCTCTGACTTCCACATGCATGCTGTGACAGGCACGTGAATGCACTCAAAATAAGTGAAAAAAAAGTAAAAAGAGAACTAAGGGATATAATGTGCTCCGTGGTGAAGCACTTCATAGCATGTGCAAGGCCCTGGGTTCGAGGAGGAGGAGCAGCAGCAGCAGCAGGAAGTTAAGAGGGTTTAGTGGGTTTTAGTTCAGTGGTATAATGCTTGCCTAGACTATAAGGAGACCTGGGTTCAATCCTGAGCATCACAAAAATAAAATAAAGTATTCAGGAGTATAGTGTTTTCCATAACAATATTTCTAAAACAATCACTACCAGCAAGTTTAAGATGCCAGGACTATAGTAATGAACTAATATTTCTAACAGATATTTGTGAAAAAAGTAACACTGGTCACATTTTGGCTCTGACTCCCCATGCAGGCACACCCAGAATTTCCAGACCAAGGTTTTCAGTATAGAGAGAACACTGTTTTGCTGTACCCTACACCATGTTAATTTCTCCATCATAAAGGAAACAAAAAACTCACTTGTTGGAATTTATGGCAATGAAGTGAATTTATGAAAAAAAAAATCAATGAATCCTGGCCACAGGCAAGGTACTATGCTTACACAAGTAAAAACACTCTTTTGACATAGATAAATTATTAAAAGCCAATAAACAAGTTGTAACAGCAACATATTTTTTGATGTTAAAAAAAAAATCTATAAATCTGAACTTTTTTTATGTCCAAATTTTCAAAAGCGTAAGCAACTTCTTCGTAGCAACTTTATAATTAAAGAATAAGTGACAAATATAACCAACAAACATAGGAAGCAAAAAAGTCTATTTATTTTGTAAAAACTTCCCAGAAAAAAGTTACTCTGCCCCAAACTTAGATGGGTAAGCATGGGTAGTATGCACTTACAAACAGGGAGGCATTTGGTGAGTATCACACACCCAGGTTTCTCTGTCTCCTCTCTTCTCTTCACCTGGAGTCAGACAATTTATGCAATTATGCTTTCTTCCCAACAGTCTATTGTCTCTATACTGTATTTTCTAAACCTTGGGATACAGCTTCAAAATTTATGAAATCTGGTAAAAGGCACATAAAGAAAAAAAAATTACCAACCACTTGATAAAGGGATGTAACTAAAACACCAAGGGCAGCAAACACCATTCCAAGGAAATTAAACTTCACATCGTAATAAGAATTTAGGATTACACCTACGGTTATAGGAATCTGTAAAGAAAAAGAGGCAAATGCTGTTCAGATTAAATTCAAGAGTGACTTCTTACAAAACTAATCATAAACACATGACCGGGAACACTATTGTATGTTTTCTTCCTTTCGAAAAACTGATTGCAAATCTTATGTAAAGAATTTAATTCCATACAGACACTCACATATAATTCTACTTTAAATCTGGCGTAAAATAGTGAGTCCATGCGTTGTGCTTTTTAAGGAAATACCACATGCATTTACAGGTAAGGAAATGGACCCCTAAACTGTGCTTAAATAACATGAGCATAAACATCAAGGAAAGCATTAAGACATGAAATACTACAAACTAAGTGCTAAACTTGTTTTAATTAATGACACTGGCACCTCTGAAGTATGCCGCTGAAGACATATTCTGAGTCAGGTTCATGCTAAACCATTTCTTTGTCGTATATGATTTGATTGGGACTTTTTATTTTTTTTCAGTTTGAGCTTTTGCAGATATTCTGATAAATATTGAATTGCATCACCTAAGACAACATTCTTTCTCACCAATCATAGCGTTTCAAGATTTCCATCAAACGGTAGGTCTAAAACCCACAGAACACACCCTTCTGGACGAAGAGCCCAACCGAGAGCCAAAAAGGCTTTTTCCACCCCTCCCCCTAATAAGCCTGCCGTTCACAGGCTCTCAGAACCCGACTCTCTCGTGGATTCATGATGTTGGAAAGGAGCCGGGCCAGGCTAAGCAATGTGCATTTCAAATTTCCCGGGAAGAAAGACAACCAGGCTGGAGGCTAAAGATACAGTTGAGCGCAACAGCGCTACTCACCAGTGTAAGCTGTATTCTGATGGAGAAGCTCTTCTGGTAGCAGAAGGTCTGGATAGCTATGATCACCGGCGTGGTCATGGCCTTGGCCAGCTGATAAGTACCTATGGTGTTGTTCTGCAGAGAAAGGTTGGTGAAGACCACAAAGCCACAGAAGCTGAGGGCCAGGAGGAGGAGCCTGGAGAGCGGCAGACTTTTGGGGGCAAAGATGTCCAGCTTCTGGCAGATGTACAAGCCCAGCCAGGTGACCACGAAGTGCACCAGGGTCAGACTCATGTTGGGGAAGCCATGGTGCACATAGATCCATTTGTTGAGGAACACGATGCAGATAGATACCAGCAGGTTGAACAGAAGCCCGGCGGCGATGCGCCCGTGGCCCCGTACCCTGTCGGCCAGCGATGCCATGATGCCCGCCGGCGGCGGAGCGGCGCCCTGGGCCGAGCCCGGGCTGTCCAGTCTCCACGGGGGGCGCCCGGCAGCTCTCCAGCTGCCCTGCCTCCGCCGCGGGTCCTGGCAGACGCCCGCCTCGCGGTCCGGCGAGAGATAGGCATGCGCCAGCAACGCCCAACCAGCGCCACCCGCCGCGCCCTCCCAGCACGGACAACGCGGCAGCCCCACCCCGCCCCTCGTGGCCACGTGACTCGACTCGCATTTCCGCCCGGCGGTGGGCGGAGCGGCGCAGGCGCGGTGGGCGCTGGTCGCCGCTTGACTGCGGTCTTCTACCCGGCCGCCTAGCGTCGGGCCCCAGTGTGGGTGACTAATTTCTGTCAGTTCCCCGACTTTCCAGACAACTTCTCTCCAGCGTGTAGAGTGGGCGGTGCAGTAAAAAACTGTCGGCAAGTTTTACTATAGATGAACAAATTTAATCCTTGGGGCAGGGGCGGAGCATAACTTTTTGAAAACACTTTTAAACACTTTTAAGTCTAAACATACATTAGAGTGCAGAGACAGTATGACCCTCATATCCTCAAAATGTAGCTTTAACAGTATTTTGTCTTATTTGCCTCGTTTTACTTTTTACTTGCATATTAAACAGATCCCATCTTTCACCCCCCCAATACTTTGGTGAACCTAAAAAGCATGTAAGTTTTCCTGTATTACTACGATATGACTTGCACTCCTAAGAGGCTTATCATTAGCATCAAATATCCAGTCCAAGTTCAAATTTGTGAAGGTGGAGAGGACTTTTAAGTTTTCTGTGGAAAGTGCACTTTATATTCACACAAAGTATATGTCTTTCCTCAATCTGCAAAGCTGCATACCACTTATCTTCCACAATTTGATGGAAGTCATGAGAAACTTGGTTTGATTCATTGTGTGTGTGTGTGTGTAGGGGATATGTGTGTGCCACTGCAGGTGGATGGAAGTCAGAGGACAACTTGTGGAATCAGTTCTGTACTTCCATCATGTGGGTCCCAGGAATGGAACTCAGGTCATCAGGCTTGGCAGTAGGTACCCCTACCCATGGAGTTATATCACTGGCCCTTATTATTTTTTTGAGATGGGGTCTCACATAGCCTAGGTTGGCCTCCCAACTCTCCATGTAGCCAAGGATGACCTTCACCTCCTGATCTTCCTGCCCCCACTTGCCAAGTGTCACCAAGCCCTTCAATGTGCTTATAATTTGTAGGTATTTTATTTTAAATGAGTTGAACATTATTTCGTCGACTTAGATGAGCTACTTGAATTTGTTTCTCTAGGGTACCTCTTTTCTAATTGATGTGAAAAAGAAGTTTCTCACTTCAGAGAGAGTAAGTTCTTTGATGACATCTCCAAAATCATGATTAATGAACAGTTTCTTCCTCTTTTTGAATCAACATTTGGCATTTCATTTTTTTAGAAAACCATCCACTTTTCTCGAGAGCTTGTTTGGAGGTTCTAGCAGGAGAGCGCAGCTACTTCGTATACCCTTGACCAAAGAGCAGTCCTCCTCTATTAGGGAAGGCAGTCCTCTTCCAGCGCGTTGAGGGAGGAATGGGACACCCACCTAGCCAGCCAGATCAGCTGAAACAACCCTGGTAATCAATGGAGTGACAGATATTGCAGCCAGATCGCCCTCCCATCCAAAAAATTGTTCATGTTTCTTAAATAGGCCAACATACTTCATCAGGGTTGTACATACTATTTTATCGTATTTTGTACTATTTCATCTATTGTCATATGAAATTATTCTACACATTAGCTTTTGAGTTGTGATTAGCATTGCCAAGAACTTGTCTGTTTTAGTGATCTTTTCAAAGATTACTTTTATTGATTTTGTCCAGTCATTTAATTTTTTCTTATTTCTTGACTGTCATGTTAATTTTTATTTAAAAATAAAAGCAGGCTGGTTAGACGTCTCAGTGGACAATGGAACTTGCCATGAAAATCTAACAATCTGAATCTGAATCCTGGGACAGAAGTTAAATTAGGAGAGAAGCGACTACAAAGTTGTCTTCTGACCTCCACATGCACGTCATGCCACATGCACAGCCACACTCATATTGGTACACACACAGCAATAAATAAATGAAATTTAACAACAACAATAGTAAGAATTTAAGGTTGAAAGTGTCCTCCCTAAGAACAGTTTTGGCCACAGTCCTCAAGACAGTGAGTATGCTTATTGTTCTTAATTTCTAAGTAATCTGATTGCCTTAAATGAATGATTCAAATACTTTACTGAGCACCTGCTAAGTGGCAGCCACTATAACGGGCAATTGGGAGATAAAAGCAAGTAAAAGGAGCCCAGAGCTTTGCCTATAGAACTTAATGAGAAGCCTGGTACCACCAGCATGCACTACGAGAAATGAATATGCCAAAGCAACATGATCCCATGAGCGTATAATAAAAGAACTTGCCCAAACTTGGTAAAGGGGAGGGGGGAGCGTCTCTAAGGAAATGACTTTTTTTTGAGATAGGGTGTGCTATGTACCTGACATACTTCCGGGTACACTCTTCCTATGATGTCACCAAACAGGATGTTTCAAATTTGATCTGTTTTTACTGTATCCTACATGCAGTTGCACTGTCATCATCCTTCCTACATTATGGATTACCCTTACCTCCACTCTCATCTTCATTAAGAGCCTAGGAACAGCTGTGGTGGCACATGCCCGTGTCCCAGCACTTGGGAGGGAGAGGCAGGCAGATCTCTGTGTTCAAGGCCACAGGAGACCCTGTTTCAAAATAGACCCCCCCACCCCGCCATTTAGCCTCTTTCTTCAGTTCAGCACTAAACCCAGAGTTTGAAACATGTTAGGCAAATGCTTGACAATTAAGCTACACTCTCAGTCCTTATTCAACTTTTTAATTTTTATTTTATGTGTATGAGTGTTTTTCCTGCATGTAAGTGCACCTGTGCATGCAATTCCCAAGGAGGCTGGAAGAGGGTATCTGATCCCCTGAACTGGAGTTCAGGGTATAGCTGATATGTGGGTGCTGGGAACAGAACCCAGGCTCTCTGCAAGAGCAACCAGTGCTCTTAACTGCTGAGCCCTCTCCAGCCCCCATATTCAACATCTTAATGTGCAATACTGCTACACCTTCAGTAGAAACGTACTTAAAGTTTTGAATTTTGATCTTTTCTTAGGTTATAATCAGGTCTACCATCCACTTCTACTTAATTTTTGGGTTTGGGATAAAGTTAAGAGTCAAAGTCCATTTATTTTCCACATGCATATTCAGTTGTTCTGCTACAATTTATTGAACACTTTCTAAATCTTGAAAGAATTTATATCTAAAGGAAAGGTGAAAGATTAGTATAATAAACTCAGCTGCACCATTTAGACTCACTCAATATCATTTTGCCACACTTGTTTTATCTATGTAGATTTTAATTTTAAACCTAAAGTTTATAAAGTGCAGATTCTATGACTTTTCATTCTTAAATATTTCAGCATGCATCTCCTAACAATAAGGGCACTTACCTAGACTGCCAAAATTCCCTGCTCAGACCTAAGAAAATTAGTATTAGCATCAACTAATATATAATCTCTCTTTATTCTGGAATTTTGATAGGTATTATGTTAAACATGTTTATCAACTTGGTAAGGATGGACATCTTAAGTATGTTGACTTAAGTACGTTAATCAACATAGTATTTCTTTCCATTTTTAAATTTTTAATTACTTTTATTTTGGGGGTACTGGGGATTGAACCTAGGTATTGTGCACACTAGGCAAGTGTTCAGGTGTTCTGCCACCGAGCTATATACCCTGAGCCCCTTTTCATTTATTTTGTTATTTTTTGGTTTCTTTCACTAGTAGTATAGTTTTCAGTATTCAAATCCTGTATATTTTGTTATACTTATGCTTTTATGCCACTTTACTCTTCTGTCTCATCCTACATAATATTTATTTAGTTATGTTTTTTGAAATAAAGTCTCCGACTGGGCTTGAGCTTGCTATCTCCAGACAATTTTTTCTGCCTCAGCTTCCTAAGTGCTTGGATTATAGGCCTAAGCTACCATGCTTGTCTTGTTCCACCTCATTAAAAAAAAGAGATGCAGGGCTGGAGAGATGGCTTGGTGGTTAAGAGCACTGGCTGTTCATCCAGAGGCCCTGGGTTTGGTTCTCAACACCCACATGGTGGCTAACAACCACCCATAACTCCAGTTCCTCACCCTCTTCTGGCCTCTAGGGGCACTGCATACATGTGGTGCACTTATATACATGCAAGCAAAACACCCACATACACATTTTAAAAAATGGATGCACAGCTGGGTGTGGTGGAGCACACCTTTAATCCCAGCACTCAGGAGGCAGAGGTGGGTGGATCTCTGTGAGTTCCAGGCCAGCCTGGTCTAGACCAAAAAAAAAAAAAAAAAAAAATGCTTAATAAGGCTTAATAAGATGCTGGGGTTTAGATCTGAACTATCCTTGCCTCTAAGTCCCTGGCTCATGTATTTGAATACCTGGTCCCCAGCTGGTGGTGCTTTTTAGAAAGCTGTAGTACCTCTGAGATTTGTGGCCTGGCTAGAAGTGGATGTCCTGGGAGTGGACCTTAAGGATTATATCCACCCAAGTGCTCTGCTTCCTGTCTGCTGCTTCAGTGTGACCAACTACCACATGTTCCATAATTAATCTTTTCTCACTTAAATTGCTTCTGTCTGGTACACAGTTCTATCAAAGAGTATTTCTGTAACTAATACATAAATTCTAAAATTACTCGTTAAATAAAATATTCTAGGCAGAGCCACTGTCTCTACACCTTTTTAAAGAAAATTTTATTTATTATTTTTATTTTATGTGTATGCGTGTGTTGCCTGTATATAGGTAAGTGCACCTGTGTCGTGCAATGCCTGTGGAGGACAGATGAGGTGTCAGATCCCCTGGAACTGGAGTTATGGATAGTTAGCTGCCATGTGGGTGCTGGGATTCAAACCCAGGTCTTCTGCAAGAACAACCAGTGTTCTTAACCACTGAGTCCTCTCTCCAGCCCCTCTACACCTTTTTATAAATGTGTCCAGAAGACAATGCTGTGATCAACAAGTGTTGTCTGCCTTGAGTACCTGTCTCTGTTTGGCCAGATTATCCCAAGCTTAGCTAGTTAGCATCACCTACGATATATTGTATTTAAAAATACTAAACTTTAGGGACTGGAGAGATGGCTCAGGAGTTAAGAGCACTGGCTGGTCTTGCAGAAGACTCAGGTTGGACTCCCAGCATCCACATGGCAGCTAACAACCTTCTGTAACTCCAGTTCCGGGAGAATCCAACTCCCTCTTCTAACCTCCATGGGCATTGCATGACACCAGTATACACTTAGAAACATGCAGGCAACACACTCATACACATAAAAATAAAATACTTAAAAAAAATTACTAACTTTATGGTCCCATCTCAGGCCTCCTGGGCTAGACCTCTCCAGGGGTGATGTCTATATATATATATTTAAAATTTCAAGTGATTTGGATGATGAGTTAGCTTTGAGAGTTAATCTAGAAATAAGACAACTGCACTCTCTTCCCCATTTATAAGCCACCCGCTGAGCTAACTCGGCCTCTGTGAGCATGTGCAGAACACTCACCTTTGCAAGGTTTTACAGATCCTGATTTCCTAATATGAAGTGCCTCACTGTTCCAGCATTCTTCCTTTTGCCTTTGGAAACTTTGTGCCTTACTCAAACTTCAGGTGAAATGCTAAATCTTCAAAGACTTTTCAGCTGGAGAGTTTTATCCTGCTTTACCTGTTTTTGTTTTTTGTTAACATGTATTTATTTGTGTAAGTGTCTGGGCTCACATATGGCATGGAGCACATGTGGAGGTAAGAGGACAACTTGGAAGAGTTGGATCTCCCCTTTCTGTTAGATAAAAAGGTGACAGGGGTTGGGATCACCGCAAAACAGAAACAAAGAAGACTCTGGCAAAGCGAGAGTTTAATGGGTTTGGTGGGCCTGGTCCTCAACTCGGGTATATGGAGGAAACCAGCAGCTTAATGGCTGCAGAGGGGTAGCTTATGGGACAGAATGCAGAAAAAGAATAATTTTCTGCAGTTTGGGACTGTTTTGGGGGCTGCTTGCTCAGGGAGGGTGTGGGGTCTGTACCTGGTGAAACTTATTGAGGAAAACATCTACTGTAAAACATGTTTTCTACAATTACAGGGTTCCAGGAATTAATTATAGCTAAGGGCTTAGGAAACCTGTTTGTCAGCCTGTGGAGCATGCTCTGGTAATCGCAATACATTGGTCATTATTTTCCCAGAGCTGCTTTTGTTAACTTGCAGGTGGCTGGGAGTTGTTTGACTCAGTTCCTCTTAGGGCCCTCACAGTTTCTGGGTCTGGGGACACCTGGATCTGAACCCTATCACTCTCCTTCTCCATGTATGTTCACCAGGGATCAAACTTGGGTCATCATCAGCCTTTGTCATATACACCTTTATTCACTGAGCCATCTGGCTGGCCCCCAAACAATTTGTTTTCCTCCCTTCCCTCCAGCCCTGGCTGGCCTCCAGTGCTGTGATCAAAGGCATATACCACTATGCCTGGCTGATAATTTTTTTTTTTTTTTTGAGTACATTGTTTTTTTGGTTCTTTTTTTTCCCGTCTTTTTGAGACAGAGTCTCACTGTAGCCCCAGCTAGCCTGGAACTTGATATAGAGACCAGGCTGGCCTCAAACTCAGAGATCCTCCTGCCTCTACCTCCTAAGGTCTGGGATTAAAGGTGTGCACCACCACGCCTGGCTGATAATTTGTATTTTTTTTTTATTTTAATTTTTATTATTTTTATTTTATGTGTATGTGTATATTGCCTGCATGTAGCTAAGTCACCCGTGCCATGCAATGCCTGCGGAGGACAGAAGAGGCTGTTGGATCTCCTGGGACTGGAGTTTCGGACAGTTGTTACCTGCCATGTGGGTGCTGGGATTCGAACCTGGGTCTTCTGCAAGAACAGTCAGTGTTCTTAACCACTGAACCATCTCTCCAGCCCTGATAATTTGTATTTTTTAATGGAAACTTCTCTCTCTCTGTATATATATTTCCTGTACTAAAAGGGCTGGAACAGAGCTTGTCTTATATTTACTAGTACATTCAATGCTTACTATGTGTCAGGTACTATGTTAAGTCCTTTAATGGCAGTTTTGCTGAAGTATAATGATATACGTATTTGGACATGTCATAATGAAGCCCATTATTTTGTATGCTAATTAAATTTTTTTAATTAATGGATTTGCTGAATGAGAAGTAGTAAGCTACAAATGTTTTTTTAAATAAATAGCATTTTGTATATATATATATTTATATATAATTTTTTTTTTTTTGGTCTTTTTGAGACAGGGTCTCCCTGTAGCCCTAGCTGGCCCGGAACTCACTGTGTAGACCAGGCTGGCCTTGAATGCACAGACATCCACCTGCCTCTGCCTCCCAAATGATGGGATTAAAGGTGTGTACCACCAGGCCCTCACATTTTGTATTTTAAAACATTCTTCCTAGATTCATCTTACTAACTTTAATATTTAGAAAAATACTAACTTTTATGGTAAATGAGAAATTACCTATCTGGGTTGAAAATGAATCTATTCTTTATTCTCTTTATAATTTTAACAAATCAGGAGGTTATGATTACAGAAAAGTAATGAAAATTTAATTTCCCTATTATATTACATAATAAAGATGGAGGGAGAGAGGGAAGGAGGGAGGGAGGGTTGTGGGATGACTCAGCAGGTAGAGGCACTTGCCACCAAGCCTGAAGACCTAGTTCAATCCCTGGGAAACATATGGCAGAAGGAGAGAACCAACTTCCTGAAAGTTCTCCTGACCTTTACATGTGCTCTGTAGGTACACACCCACACACATACAAATAAATAGAAATCCTTTTTTTTTCTGGTTTTTTGTTTTGGTCTTTTTGACACAGGGTCTCTCTGTAGTCCCAGCTGTCCTGGATTCACGATGAAGACCAGGCTGGCCTCAAACTCACAGAGATCCGCCTGCCTCTACCTCCTGAGTGCTGGGATTAAAGGTATGTGCCACCACACACAGCAGAACAGAACATTTTAATTTTGTATAATTTCATTAAAAAAATACTTAGGGGAATATGGATATATACTACATTTTTCTCACTGTCGTCATAATATTATGAAAAGTACAAAATTTAAATGTCTAAACTTCACATTTTTCCTCAGAATACCAAAGAAGAAAGCCAGCAATTACAAATATGTATATTTTACAAAAACCAAGCAACCAACCAAAAGAATTTCCACTTATCGTGGGCATCAGAGAGGGGGTGAGTTATGACTGAATTTCGTACCCCAGTGGGTCAAGTCCCTGGTCTAGCAGCATCAGAGAGGATTCCCTCAGCTTCTGCAGCAGCTTCCTTAGCTCCTCCTTAGAAAACACCTGATGTTAGAAAGGAAAAAGAGAGGAGTATGAACTTTTTAAACCAAATCAATCTTAAGACGACAAAGCCCTGTAAGGTGTACATGGCTAGAAGCTCCTGGAATAGGGTAGTGTGGTTCAGGACCCTCAGGGCTGCTTTCTGGGAGCAGCCTATGTACTTCTGTTTATACATACACACACATTTTGGGAAAAAGGCATATACATAAAATTGGAAAATTATTTTCAGAAAATCTAAGAACTAAAAGATGTTAACATGTCTTCATAAATATTACTACATAGTGTATCAAATTATTACAATTTAAAACTTCAAATGCTCTAGAACTTACCAGATATAGTTTGTGGCGCTCAGAGGACACCATGTCTGCTAACTGTAGGCATTCCTGATACTGGCCAGTGCTATGTAATATGGTATGAAGCAGAAAACACAGCATTGGCAGACAAAGCTTTCTTAGTAAAATCATCTGATGTGTTCTTTCATGGTCTTCTTCAGCATCCTACAAACAGACATTAAGTAATCCTTTTAACGACTTTAAGCTACATACCCCGACAAAAAGAAAAATCAAGTACAACCTATGGTAAGGTGGCTCATACTTGTCATCCCAAATCCTAGCACTCAGGCTGTTAAGACAGGAAGATCAGCACAAATTCAGGGCCTCATTTACATAGTGAGTTCCAGGTCAGCCTGGGCTACAAAGTAAGAATGAGACCCTATCTCAAAATAGAAAAGCAAACAAATGAAAAAGTTAGTTAAGTGATTCCATCTGAACTAATCAACATGTATACTTTTCAATCTTGTTATCATCTGCTAAGCAATACAGTGTAACAACTATTTACACATTTATATTAAAATAGGTATAAGCAAGCTGGAAGACTGAAATACCAAGAGGGTGTGTGTAGGTTCTATGAAAATATCATGTTGTATATTGGGAGTAACCTATAGGGGGTAATCTAATTAGACTTAAGGTCCATTCAATAGGAAGGAACGTGCCTGGTACTATAAACCTGGCCAAATACCTATGGCTGGAGGTCACAGACCCTAGAGAAGAACCTACTACTGCCATTTTCCTAAACCAATACCACTTCTAGTCATATTCTAAATCTTTATCCTGATAGCCAGAGATAAATGTAGCTCTCATCCCTCATCAAAGAAACTTTGTTTTTACAGTAGATGAAAACTATTACAGAGATCCACAACTGGTCAAACTGCAGAGAAAAAGTGACCGGGATGCCCAGCCCCAACTGATACATCTACAACGCAACTCCTACAACTAAGTCTCAGGGAAAACTGCAGAAGAGGAGAAATGATTTTAAAAACTAGAGGATCAGGACACCTGCTGCTATATAGTGTCTTCCAGATGTGACAGGGAAGCCACACCCATGAAATCTTAACAGTATGGCTGCCTAAAGAAGACCTGCATAATGACAGCACTATCTGATATGCCAATGTGGATGGGAAAAATTTCACAAGGACTCAATAGTTTGTGAATATGTGTGCGTGTGAACAACAAAGAGGTCCTGAATTTGAGAGGGAGTGGGGCGAGACAGGAAGAGTTGGAGGGGGATGGGGAGGGGTGGAAATAATGTATTTATGTACAAAAGTCTCAAAAATTTTAAGTAAAGAATATACCATGCCATTTTACATAATGGAATGGAGCAATTTTACATCTACAGGGTCCTTGAATTAAAGCCCCATGATGTTGAGAGATGACTTCCAAGTCAAAACCAAAAGAGGAAAAAGCTAAAATTTTTTCCTAAAGCTTATCATGCCTGTTTTTAAATGCACGTGTGTGCACATGTGTTTGTCTATGTGCAGGTGCATATGTGTGTGGTATGTGGCCAGTATGGACGCACATCAAGCCTGGGTGTCACCCTCAGAGTGCCACCCACCTATTTTGAAATAGGATCTCCACAGATTTGGAACTCACCAATGAGGCTCAACTAGTCTCCACCTCCTCAGTGGTAGGAGAAGCAACATCATGCCCAACATTTTTATGTGGCTTCTTGCAGATTGAACTCAGGTCCCCTGCTTGCAAGGCAAGGGCTTTATTGACTAAGCCATCTCCCCAGCCCTTATCATGCCCATTAAAAATGAAACAATGCAGGGTTTCGATCATATAATCTAGACTAGCAAACAAGATTTTGTTTTTCAAAATAAGATTTTAATGGCAAAAAACATGAAGTGAACAAAATATACTACAGAGGATACAGCATGAAAATAAAATTGCTACGGAATGGACTGCTAATATATCTAGAATAGCAGCCTACATCAAAAGAATAAGAATATCATTAGAGTCAAAATCAGAAGAGAAAATAATAACCATCCTTGAACATACAGATGAACCTGCAGATACATCAAGGAGAGCTGAGGGACAGACCACCCCGACAACGATGAGCATGGCTGACAAGGGCCAGGGTGGAAGAGGGGTGTGCAAGGAGAGAGGACTGCTGTTTTCAAGCTTCTAGTTTGATTTAAACAAGGGGTATGAATTATTGTTTTCTTATATAGTTAAAATATGGAAAAATTAAGAGAACTTGTAGCTTTGAATAATAGTTAATGCCAGAGTAGACAGAAGAGGACAGCTGATGATAGCAAAAGCAGTATTTCTTTCCAAGTGTAAATGGGATCGTTCTAAAAAATTATTTGGACAGTAGACATGTAGAAAAGAGCAGTTTTGCTATGCCCACTACATTTTCTTACAATGAATTTTAAAAGTAAAAACATTAAATTTTAAAAAGTTACCCAAACACAGCCGGGCATGCACACCTGTAGTCCCAGCACTTGGGAGGCAGAGGCAGGTGGATCTCTGTGAGTTCAAGGCCAGCCTGGTCTACATAGTGAGTTCCAGGACAGCTGGGGCTACAGGGAGACCCTGCTTCAAAAAGACACACACACACACACACACACACACACACACACACACACGTACCCAAACACATTAAAATTCCTCAAATAATCTTTAAAATAAGAAGGGCTAGAGAGACGGTTCAGCAATAAAGAACACAAAGTGTTCTTGCAGAGGACCTAAGTTTGGTTCCCAGCATCCATGTTGGGTGGCTCACAACTGCCTGTAACTCCATTTCCTGGGGATCTGATATCCCACGCTGGCCTCTGTGGACATCTGCACTCATACACACAAATCCACACATAGACAAGCACATAGGAAAATCTTAAAAATAAAAAAGGACAAGTGTAACTCAGGGGTAGTACAAAGCCCTAAACTCAACTCTTAATACCACAAAAAGTAAAATAAGGAAGCCTGCAGAACCTACTATGCAAAAAAACACAGTAAAACAACAGCAGCAGCAATAACAGCAGCACACAACAAATAAAAAGCTAAAACAGTAACTGATTCTTAGAAGCTTAATGAAACACGTAAGGGACTCAAAAGGCAGAGGCAAGGGAACTAGGACTTCAAGGCCTGACTTGGCTACATAGTGAAACCCTAAAGAAAAAAATTAGTTAAAAGTTATCTTCTTGTATGAGGCTATTAGACTAAATTACTGAAACATTTCTCGAAGGCAGATAGCGGAGGTAAGCTGACAAACCAAGATCTGGTGTTTTGACCAATGAGTAACTGCTAATCTGGGCCAGGTTCCCACACAGAAGAAAACTACTGCCGACCAACCTTGTAATATTGTTTTGAGGCATAAATACATAAAGCCAAATATTAAAATGCTCCACATTTTCTTACCCTTAAAAGGGAAAGCACTTTATTTTTTCAAGATAAGGTGCTGACTGCCTTTAGAGGTAAGCTTAAAATGTAGTCAGAACACCTTAGGATCGTAGTATTCAGTCTGGCGTGTCCTACATGGAGAAGAGTGAAGAATGACAGGACCACGACCTTCCGGGCCTCTGCATTTGTGCTCCCATACAGTCTTTCCCCTACGCAAAGTGCCTCTGCTTCCAAGATTCCTTCCCTGACAGCAGCAGCAGCAGCAGGCATCTTAATCCCATCTCACAACAGGTTCTAACACTAATAAGGTCATCTATAATTATTTAAGAACTTCAAGTGCAGCTATCTGAAACAGTGTCTAATGCCAGAGATACCACTACAGTTGTGCTTTATTATACAAGGGCAGCTGGCTGAGCAAGTGAGTGGAGTGGAAATCTACATTGTGCCCCATCCTACAGATCATGTGCACATGGCATGGACCTATCTGCACGAAGAAACGGGTGTAATTTTCTGATTAATATGCAAGTAACAGATGTGCAGAAGTACTGATAATTTTCTACTGCTAAATATCTAGGAGCAGTAAGCTAAATTTAGTATATTTATTATTTGACTATTAAGGCAATCTCTTCAGAATTAGTTTTGAAAAGAAAGATAAAGGCTGGATAATTTTTTAAAGATTTTACTTTTGGGGCTGGAGAGATGGCTCAGAGGTTAAGAGCACTGACTGCTCTTGCAGAGGACCCAGGTTCGATTGCCAGCACCCACATGGTGGCAAACCGTCCTTAACTCCAGTTCCAGGGGAATCTGATGCCATCTTCTGACCTCTGTGGCATTGTATGACATGGGTGCACTCACATAACATGCAGGCAATACGCTCATACACATAAAAATAATAAATATTTTTAAAATGTATTTTTAAAAAATAAAAGGATTTTACTTTTTAGGAGCTGGAGAGATGGCTCAGCAGTTAGAGCATAGGCAGCTCTTATGAAGGACCCAGGTTCGATTCCCAGCACCCACATGGCAGCTAACAACCATCCTAACTCCAGTTCCAGGGGAGTTGATGCCCTCCAAGGTACTGCACTACAGGGGTGCAGTTACATGCAAGCAATATACTCATACACATAAAATAAAAATAAATAAAATCCAGGTCCTCTGAAAGAGCAGAAAATGCTCTTTAACCATGGAGCCATCTCTCCAGCCCCTAAAAATGTATAGTTTTTATTTATGTGTATATATGTGTGTGTCTGTGTGTCTGCCAAGTGTGTGGATGCCCTTGGAGGCCAGAAGAGGGCACCAGATCCTCAGGAGCTAAAGTTACAGGAGGTTGTGAGCTACCTGACATAGGTGCTGGGATCTGAACTCAGGTCCTCTGGAAGGGCAGCAAGTGCTCTTAACAGTTGAACCACCTCTCTAGCTCAAGACTGGATAATTTTTCTTTTTAAAAATATTTTATTTATTATTATTATTTTTTAGAAGCATTTCATTACAGCCTTAACATACTCAATAACAATTTCCAGACCAAAAATACAACTTTTTCAAAAGTGGCTATAAAAGTTTTAGATTCACAGTTGAATAGTTATATGATATTGAACTCAGTATAAATCCTGTAAGACATAAAATTGAATGATTTTTTTAACCTTTAAAAAAGATCTCCATTTCATTTTAAAATATGCTGTTTCTTACAAAAAAATATTTATTATTTTTATGTGTATGAGTGTATTGCCTGCATGAATGTAAGTATACCCATGTCATGCATTGAGATCAGAAGGCATCAGATCTCTTGGAGCTGGAGTTACTGACGGTTGTTAGTTGTCATGTGGGTGCTGGGGGCCAAACTTGGGTCCTCTGTAAGAGCAGCCAGTGCTCTTAACTAGTGAGTTACCTCTCCAGCCCTCTGTCCTAGATACTTTCTATTGCTATGATAAAACACTGACCAAAACCAACTTGGGGAGGAAAGGGTTTATTTGGCTTACAGTTCACAGCCCATCATCAAGGGCTAAGCCTCCCTTGCTAAGGCAGGAATTCAGGGTAGGAACTTGGAGCACAGACCATGGAGGAATGTGCTCACTGGCTTCCCATGCTCATCAACCTGCTTTCTTTTGTTTTTGTTTTTTTTTTGTCTTTTTGAGACAGGGTATTTCTGTAGTGGGGCTGGCCTTGAACACACAGTGATCCACCTGCCTCTGCCTCCCGAGTTGCTGGGATCAAAGGTGTGCCCCACTATGCCTGCTTTCTTATACAATGCTGGCACATCTGCCCAGGAGTGACAAGGCCCACAGCGGGCTAAACCCTTCCACAACACTCAATAATCAAGAAAATGCCCCACAGACATGGCCATAGGCCAATACAATGGAGGAAATTCCTTAACTGAGGTTCCCTCTGCCCAAGTGTGTCAAGATGAACTGGAAGCTACCCAGCATACCCTCTAAGTTACTTCTTGCTAGGTATTTGGTCACACACATAGAAGGAACTTGTATGTATCTACACAGAGATCTAAGAGGTCTAAGAGGACACACCAACCTGAAAGAGCTGATCATGGCTAGCAAGAAAGATCAGGATGTGGAGAGGAGCCAGACAACTATAAACAGAAGATGACATGAGGGATGGCAAGACAAAGATACGTAACTACGGCAAGCTTCGACGTTTCCCTCTCACACCACTGTCATTGCTGTCATCTACAATGTCCTGCTTTTCCTCATCTGAGCCATTTCTCACTTAAATGCTAAGCCTCTTAAACATCCTATCCAGGTAAAAGCAATCTTGTTTTATCCTTTTTTTTGCAATGCTTTGGATTCAACCCAGTGCATGCCAGGGACTGTCATGGAGCTATACCACCAGTTCAAAGCAATCTTCTCTTTATTTGAGCTCAAATAATAACTTAACTCTCCCTTCATGCAAAATAACTCAATTATGCTTTTCTTATGACATTTAATACCTTTTTTTTTTTTGTGGGGAGAGAGGGTGGAGGCTGCCCTTGACTTAATCATCCTGCTTCAGTACCCAAGTGTTGGAATTACAGGCATGTGCCACTATCCAGTTTATGATTAACACCTCTGGAAGCACCCCTTACTCCAGGCCACACCACAAAGTACTAGAAGTTGAACCCTTTATTTTATTTTATTTTATTTTTAGTCTTTTTGAGACAGGGTCTCCCTGTAGCCCCAGCTGTCCTGGAGCTCACTACATAGACCAGGCTGGCCTTGAACTCAGAGATCCACCTGCCTCTTCCTCCCAAGGGATTAAAGGCCTGTGCCACCACGCCCGGCAGAACCCTGTATTTTTTAAAAAAAGCCTTTGAGTCATTTAAGTGGATAGCTCAGAGGGGACAGCCACTGCTTTACATTATGTCTTCCTTAAACTACTAGACTTGCCTATTTCTAAATTAAGTCAAATACACATATAGTTAAAATTTTAGACTCAGGTTTGGTGGTAATGTACCTGTAATCCCAGCTATCAGGAAGTTGTAGCAGGAGGATTCCAAGTTCCAGGGAAACCAGGCATATAGTGAGTTCAAGTACTGCCTGGACTGTACAGTGAGACCCTACCTAACTCAGCAACTAGGGAAATAAAATTTTAGGTTCAGAATTTTTTAAAAAGTATTTTATTTACTATTTTTATTTTATATGTACAAGTGCATTGCCTGCATGTATGTGAGTGCACCCATGTTGTGCAATGCCACGGAAGTTAGAAGAGGGCTTCATATTCCTCTGGAACTGGAGTTAAGGACAGTTCATAGCCATCAATGTGGGTGCTGGGAATTGAACCCGGGTCCTCTGCAAGAGCAGTCAGTGCTCTTAACTGCTGAGCCCTCTCTCCAGGTTCAGAATTTTTATTAAAAATTACTAAATTTTAAAATTATACTTTAAAAAGTACTAAATTAAAAATTTAGTACTCTATGAACATAGTAAATGTGAATAGTTAACCCAAGAATAAATACTCCTATTCTAAGTGAGTATTTTCAGTTAAGCTTAAAATATGGAATGTTTAGTTATAACTATAAACATTTTATAAATTCTATAGCTGCTCCTAGAACATCTGAAAAAAACAGTGTACGTGGTTTTGTTACTGTTGCTGGGATTCTTTACATTTTATATATGTGTGTGTGTATTTATGTGTGTGTGTGTGTGTGTGTATGTGTGTTTGTGTGTGTATGAAAGAGAGGTTGAACAACTGAACTTAGGTCATCAAGCTTGGCAGCAAGTGCCTTTATCCACTAAGCCATCTTGATGGTCCATTACTATTTTGTTGTTGTTGTTGTCCTTTTGAGATAGGTTCTCCTGTAGCCCAGCTGCCCAGGAACTATGTAGACCAGACAGTACTTGAACTCACAGAGACCTTCCTGCCTCTGCCTCCCAAGGGCTGGGACCAAAAGAGTGTGTCACTACGCCTGGCTTGCATCAAGCTATAAACAGAACATATAGCTTACCTCTCTGACATCTACCATCCACCCTCCATCAACAAATAACAAGACGTTGTACATTTTCTCCTTTACATCAGCAGTTAGAGCATCCAAATGCCCTTTCCAAATACCATAATCCATCTGCAGAACAAACAGAGGTAGACATAATGGACCAAAATCACCAAACCATGTATTTTAAAATGTTTTATTATTTTTTTATGTGTGTATGCATGTATTGCCTGAATGTAGGTAAGTGCGCCCGTATTGTGTAATGCCCACAGAGGACAGAAGAGGCTGTCAGATCCCCTGGAACTGGAGTTACAGACAGTTGTTAGCCACCATGTGGGTGCTGGGATTCAAACCTGGCAAGGATAGCTAGTGTTCTTAAGCTCTGAGCCATCTCTCCAGCCCCCCAAAACCATGTATTTCAAAGTACAGACTAGAATATCATTCTTTTATTTATTTATTTAGTAGTAATATAATTTATTCATTTCAGTAAGTTTTGAGCATAAAGTGTAGGCTTTCTAAGGTAGTATGAGTAATGTGTTCCAGAATTTGACTTTTCAAAGCTAAATGTCATCTGTCATTTGGGAAGCAAAAGCCAGTTTAAGTAAATCAAATGAAATAAGAGATGCTGGGGAACTGAGATGTTCTGGGAGGAAGAGGAAATGTCTTAGTGGGTCAAGTGTGTGTACCACATGAGGGCCTGAGTTCAGATCCCCAGCACCCATGTGAGAATTTGGGCATGATGGACCATAGAACATCAGTCTTATGAGTTGATAATTCAGTCAGCCCTATGTAAAAGAAACAACTATTAGCAGAACAATTGGCAGATAAATAAAATACTAATGTTCATTTGGTAAATGAATACTAATGTCTAAAGGTATTTTTTTTAAGTCAATTATCTACAGAAATTAATTATCTAAAGAAAAGTATATAAGTGTAAGTTTTTCTCTTCAAAGTAGAATATATAACAGAAAGATCCCATTATAGTCAGAATACAAATGCTGAAAAAATGACCTCTTTAAATAAATAAGTATATTTTAAAAATTAAACTTATCTCAGACCCATGTTTAACTTACTTCATATTTCTTTTCTTTGTGTTCATAAGCCACTTTCTCTGTAAAAGTCGGTTGAGATATCAAAGTAGGTTTTTGTGGAGCTGAATTCATATGCTTAAACCACTCATTAAAGGTTTCATGGGCTTCCTAAAATGTAAAGTTATACAAAACAGAATATATAAAAGTTTTCATGTTTTGTTTTTAGAGACAGGGTCTCACTCTCTAGCTTAGGTTGGCCTGGAACTCACTTTGTAGTGAGCTCCTACAAATCCCAGGCTGGCCTCAAATTCATGGCAATCCTCCTTCCTCAGCTTCCTAAGTGCTATTACACAAAGTTTTCACTTTTATTGCTTACAAAGCTTTTAAAAGAAGTAGTTCTTAGAAATAATTTTGTAGTCTTCAAGAAACAAACTCTTCAATATTGACTTTTTGTACACACATTAAAAAAAAAAACTGTGATAGGAAAATGTTCTACAAAGTGACAAACATCAGCAAAGTAATTTGTGTTGGTTTCTGTCATCTACTCTTATCCCAGTATCCTGACCACATGTATCCTACCATTTGCTACTCTATGGCGAACACATGATTACTTATCTTCGTTGGGAACCTATTAGCTTTTATAGTACAAAGACAAATGCTATCCAAGACTTTAACCCCACTACTGAAAGTCCATGGTAATCACTTAATTGCTAAGTAAATTTTGAATGAACATGCTGTTACTTTTCATCTAACATGGTTTTTGTTTTCTTTTAGTTACTGCCAAAAGCAAACATTTAAAGTTGAGACAAGGAAAACACAGGGTCCAGACATTATGCACCCTATCTAATCTTGCCTGGCTGCCATCAGTAGAAACCAAGCTAAGGAAGACAAGATCCTTATTTCAAACCCTATGGAGGAGGCAGCACTGCCATCACATGGGGCGGTTAGATGAACTGATCAGCATTTCTGGAAAAAGCTCAAACTCTAAGAGTGGATCAGGAATAGCACCTTAAGATTGTGGTCTCTTCAAGCTTACCAGATAAGCTCGAATACACAAATGCTCTCTGATGGCATTGTCATCTTCAGGTGGAAGTGGACCCTCCATGCCTTGCTCTTCCCACTGATTATAGATTTCTGCTATGGAATCCTGAGGAATTTTCAGAAATACTTCTTTTGCAGCTTCATGTTTCTTTGATGCTGTAAAAAAAAAAAAAAACACCCTTTCTGTATGAAACTGTGCATTTTAATAATGAAATGGAGATTTCTTTTTAAAGGTTAAAACCTCATTTAATTTTATGTCTTATAGGGTTTATACTGAGTACAATATTGTATAATTGTAACAATTCAACTGTAAACCTAAAAATTTACAGCCAATTTTGAAAGAGATGCATCTTAGCTCAGAAAATTGTTGAATATGTCAATGCTGTTGTAATGAAATGCTTCTTCTAAGTATATGGTTATTAAATAAATAATTAACTGGAAAAAAAACCTATATTCAATATTTTGAGACTTCTGAATAATGGTTTCTTAAAGGGTCAACTCTTTGGTTTACAACTTAAAAAAAAATTTTTATCATTTTTATTTATGTGTATGAGTATACTGCCTGCATGTATTTAAGTGCACTCACGTCGTACAAAGCCAAATGAGGTCAGAAGAGGGCGTCAGACCCCCTGGAACTGGAGTTATGGACCGTTGTTAGCAGCCATGTGAGTGCTGGGAACTGAACCCAGGTTCTCTGCAAGAACAGCCAATGCTCTTAACCACTAAACCATCTATCTCTCCAGCCTCTGATTTACAACTTTTAAATCTGAGGTTCCAAGGCGATCTTTCTACCTAATGAACCAGCCCTTTTCTGAACAGTGTGTGACAGTAACAGAAAGGATATATTAAATGCAGTCACTTTCACATGCTTCTATTATGCCTTTAAGTATTTTTTTAATTAAAAAAATTATTTTAATTATGTGTATGAGTGTTTTGCCTGTACATACCCATGTGCACCTGTGTTCTGCAAACTTCATGTCTTAAAGAAAACAATTACATTTTCAAAGTCTGATAGCTATGACATTATATAGAGAACTGACTAGAATAATGAAAATTCACTGCTAAACAGATTTTGTTTCATAATGCCAAGTTTGATAGGGTAGCTGGTAGTGTTCTGTCTCAGGTGCAGGCTACGGCAGGCAGCTGACTAGAAACTGAGGAGCATGTTTTCAGTGACACATGCATTGCTAAGTGTTGGGTGCTGAAGGATAAGCTGCTGTGGTATGACAGCTACAAAGCCTTTCCACTACTGGGGAAGCCAGTCTTAAGGCTTCACTGCAATATGCCAAAACCAAGGTTCCCATCCAGAACATCTTGTACCATGAAGTTAGGATTAGAGCAAATTTTATTCTGCATAGGGATCTGATAAAAAAGCTTTTGACTATGCCAGGTGTGGTGGCGTACACCTTTAATCCCAGCACTTGGGAGGCAGAGGCAGGTGGATCTTTTTGAGTTCGAGGTCAGCCTGGTCTACATAGTGAGTTCCAGGACAGCTGGGGCTACAGGGAGACCCTGTCTCAAAAAAGACAAAAAAAAAAAAAAAGCTTTTGATCTTCTTAAAGTTCAAACCTACTCCTTGAAAGTTTGTGGAGAATATTGAACTGCAGCCTCTCACAAAAACAAGAAGAGTGGACTTATTTGTAGAAATGGGGAAAGTTTTACTGGCAGAGGTAGCATTAAAAAAAATTGATTGTGTGTGTGTGTGTATGTTTGTGTGTATGGGGGTGGGGGTGGAGTATATGTACATATGTACATGAATGCAGATGCCCATGGAAGCCAGAAGCATTGGATTCCCCTGGAACTGGACTTATAGACAGTTGTGAGCTGCCCCACATGGGTGGTAGGAATAGACCTCAGGTGCTCTGCAAGAGTAGTATGAGCTTTTAACCACTGAACCACCTCTCTGGCCTCTAAGGTATCATTTTAAACATAAGTAGGAGAAGCAAGGATCTGTGACTCTCAGGCCACATATCGTGCTGGAAGGAAATCAGCCTCAGAAAGAAGTTGCCCAGGTCCAGCATTTAGAAGCACGGGAAGAGCAGCAGCAAGGCCTCTCTTCTCCCTGAAGGATTTGGGTACTGTGTATACAGAGAGCGATAGTGTTCAGTAGACCAACGTTGAGATAGTTTGAACAAGTGAGCTACGTAAATGCTTCTCGATCTCTGAGGCATCATGTTTGTCTTATTTCTGTGTTGTCACAAACTTTCATGGTTTGAAAGAAGCAGTTCTGTAAACTTTTGTTTTAGGACATTACTAAATAAAGGACTGTCTAATTGTTCATAAAGTAAATCTACTTTGGAACTGTAAACGACACAAGGACATCTTTATAAAGACGGCCTGGATGGGGCTCCCCTGCAGAGGTCTGTCATGTGTTTATGCCAGCCTGTGGGGCTGGCCTAAAAGTCTGAATCTCTCAGACTTTTACTTACATACATGGTATGGTCCCTTGGTCAACTGTTTCAGTCTGGAGATATTCTCTGCACTTTTTGCTACAGAACTACTGATTTCAATTTGAGAGACCAGATGGCTTGTGCTTTACAGTAAGACTGAAGACCTGTTATTGATAATGGACAAAGGCCAAAAACTGTAACTTAAAATCTCATGGTTTGAGTGTGCTGGAGATAATTAGAATAGGCCTGTAGTTAGCAAGCCACACAGTACATATATTGAGTGAATGATTACACCCAGCTAAAGAGTGAATTCGGATGGTTTCTTTATTGGTCACTAAATCGCAAGGTGGCAGACATGGGGGTTCTCCAAGAACACACTCCAAGAACACCTTTAGGTATGCTTAAAATCTCTACTGAACTGGGGCTGGAGAAATGGCTCAGCGGTTAAGAACACTGGTTGTTCTTGCAGAAGACCCGGGTTCAAATCCCAGCACCCACATGGTAGCTAACAACTGTTCGTAACCCTAGTCCCAGGGGATCTGACAGCCTCTTCTGACCTCTGCAGGCATTGCACAACACAGGTGCACTTACCTACACACATGCAATACACGCATACACATAAAACAAAAATAATAAAATATTAAAAAAAAAAAAAGGTCTGGATTTGGTGGCACATGCCTTTAATCTCAGCACTTGGAAGGCAAGGGAGGAGGTTCTCTGTGAGATAGAGGCCAGCCTGGTCTACATAGTGAGTTCCAGGCTGGAGCTTGCTGGGGGCTCCAGGGACTCCCTATCTCAAAAAAACCAACCCACCAACCAAACACCAAACAAACAAACAAAACAAAGCAAAAAAATGCATGGATCAGAAACAAAAACAAAAACACTACTAAGAATATAACCCACCTAAGAATTTCCTCATTATCGCGTTGCCTTGCTTCAGTGCTTCTGCCCTCTGTGCTGGGTCAAATACCAACCAGTCAATCACATCAATCTTTAAACGGTCCTCCTAGTCATTTAAAGAAGAAAAAAAAAAAAAAATTACTTCTAACATATTTTGCAAACTACTAGAACTGATGTTGCATTCATAATGAAAAATTTTCTTGCTATATGAAATTATGAAAGAATCTAATTTTCTTTAGTTCTCCTACTTAAGTTTTCTACATAAATTATAAGAAAAACTCACCGTGACTCTGTAATTATTCATTATATATCCCACTAACTTAGTCATGTGATACTTTAAAGTGCCTCTCTAAAACTTCCTTCCTTCCAAGGCTGGTCAGATGACTCAGCGGTTAAGAACATTGGCTATTCTTACTGAGGACCCAGGTTTGAATTCCAGCACCCACATGGTAGCTAACAACCATCTGTAATTCAAGTTCCAGGGGATCCAACACCCTCTTTTGTCCTCTGTGGGCACTGCATAACATGGGCACACTTATATACATGCAGGCATAACACTCATACACATAAAAAACCAAAAACTTCCTATTTATTTACTATTTATTTATTTATTATTTATTTTTCAGGTTCTGGAAATCAACCCAGGGCTCACGTGTTAGGCAAGCACTCTTATCGCCGAACTGCCCTAGCTCTAAAACCATCTTTTCTTGAGAGTATCATGTTTCTTTCTTTCTGAAAATAGAAGTTAATGATTCAAAAAGTATCTAGAATAACCTGATGAACAAGAAGTTAGTGCTCAGGTCTATTCTAAAGAGAAGCTTTCTTTAACATAATATACCTAAGTAATCCCTTAATAAAATCTTAAATTTACTGTCAATTTTTATAATTTAAAAGGTCTTGACTGACAAACATTCTTTAAAAAGACAGAAAGTTGTCTGTTAAGACATTTACTAAAGAACAAAAAAATTAGAAGTTACATGCCACCCCTCCCCCAGTTACCTCAGTGGTACCAGTATCTAGGGATGGTGCCAGGTCATGGTGACTAAATTCGCCATTATCTTTCTTCCGAATATTCTCAACTACAGTTTTTGTTATTGTTGCAACATCCAAGTCTAATTTTGGAAGTGACAAAAAAAAAAAAAAAAAAGAGCAATCATTAATATTAACATGCTCTAAACAGTCACAGCAAATCTGGAACAATTCTTTTATATTTGGTACTGGGAAATGAAGCAGGGGCCTTATACATGTTAGACAAGCATTCTACCACTGAACTACATCACAAGCCCCTAGAAGAACAATTCATCCTAGCACTTGGTAAGATGAAGCAGGAGGACTATCAGAACATGAGGACATGAGTTCAAATCCCCAGAATCCACCTAATAAACAGATGGACACAGTGGCATGTGTCTAATCCAAGTACTCCTACAGGGAGATAAAAGGCAGACAGGAGGATCCCTGGAAGCTCTTGGGTCAGTCAGGCTGGAGATGCATAGGGACACCAGACTCTGCCTCAAAGCAAGGGAGGGGAGGATGAAAACCCGATGCTGTCCTCTGATCTTCAGAAATGTGCTGTGCCCTGGCATTGTGTGTGTGGGGGGATTTCCCCCCCCCAGATTAAAAAAAGCAGATATAGTAGGAGGATATAGTCAAAGTACCTATAAATATACATATTGAAAATGTTATAATGAAACTCATTAACCAATATGCATTTAAAAAACTTAAACTATTTTTACCTGCTTCCTTAGCCAGCTCCAGGCAGTGGTGCCGTTGTTCAAATTCTGTAACACCTTCCAAAAATAATGCATACTGGGCAACAGCAAGGTCTTGAGGCAAATGACAGGTATAAAACGCTATGAGGTTTGTATGCTTCTCATTTATTAAAAGCTAAGAAGTAGAAAAGATCAGGGTAGGTCAATAATCAATAATTTTAGATTCTAGAAATGTACTTAAAAGATCTCTATGGATTTTGATGACTTCTCTACCATCGATTATTAAAATATCATTTTGGTTTTTGTTTTCATTAAAATAGTAAAAAAAGAGAATCAAATTGTAAATTCTAAAAGTTTACCTGTATATATGTCTTTAAAACTTCAATAGAAACTTCTTCCTTCATAAGAAAGAGACAAGACTCTGTTAAACATGAGTGCTTATAGGTAATGAATAACACAACATCTAAGAAAAATTCTGCTTTTAAATGGTTTATGAAATTTAGTATTTACTACAAATAACTCTACCAAGCTAGATGCTTAGTATAGTTTGGGCATTGCTTAATTTCACTTTAACATAATTTTTTTTTTTACTTTGAAAAAAATTTTTTAACATTTATTGACTTATTATGTGTTTGTGTGTGTGTGTGAAAAGAGAGAAAGCGAGTGCATCCTGCAGGAGTTAGCTCTCCCCTTCTACCATGTGTATATGTTCCAGGGATTGAACTCAAGTCATTACACTTGGCAGCAAGTGCCTTTTCCTGCTGAGCCATGTGATACCCTTTGTGGGTAGTTTTTGTTCACATTTTACAGAGGAAGAAACAATGATTTTATTTTATTTACCTAGAATTATATAGTTAGAAGTTACTAAGATTTGAATTCAAGATTTAAAAAATAAATTTTGACTTATTTGTTTTCATTTGCTGCCTGCATGTACATAAGTGTACCTGGGAGGGAAGTGCTCACAGAGGCCAGAAGAGGGCACTGGACCCCCTGGAATTGGACTTACAGGCAGTTGTTAGCTACATGTGGGTGCTGGGACCCAAACCTAAGTACTCTACAAGACCAGCCAGTGCTCTTAACTAATGAGCTATCTCTTCAGTCTAAATTCAAGATTCTTACTCTAAAGTTTTCAACTATTCTGTCACTCTGCTTCTATGTGTATTCTTATAAAAATGGTATCAAACATTTAGAAAAAGAAAAAGAAAAAAGAAAAGGTTTTAATTCCTACACAGAACTTAATTTGTTTCAGTTAGCTTAGCTGGACACTAATGAGAACCAGATTCTTAACAATCAGGGTATCGTCAATATTCTGTGGGCATAGCCTCGAACCTAACAGGTCATCACAGTGAGTTATCACAGGTGACCATGAGACTACACAGAAGGCTCCTGCACTCATTACCATTTCTAGAAGACAGTAACAAAAGGAATGCATTTTTCTGACAACAGGTGGGTAACATCAACCATACGGAGAAGGACAAGCTCTTCATTTTTATTTACTTTGGTCTGTAGTCCCAGAGTTCGGAAAAACAAAATTAGATGAGTCATAAAGCGGAGGAGGTGTCCAGGTAGAGTGCTTTTGCTTTTGGAAAGCCATTTGCTAAACTCGTCCATCAAACCTAGAAGCCATCAAAGATTCAACAGTGAGAATGAGGCCAGGAGAGAAAAACATTATCAAGAATACTCCCCCCACTGCTATAGCGTATCTAGTTTCACTGTCTCATTGCTAATAGGCATCAAGTAACTCTCCAACTCCCTAAACACTCTCAGTAAAATTCCAGTTTTACTTCACAATAATATGTAACTACAGCTGCATTCAAGTAGGTGGATGTCTATAAAGACTAAATGATGTAGTGAGTCATATGTACTGTTTCAAGAACTTTCACAAAAATTATTATTAAAAAATGAAGAGCTCAGACAAAGTTTATAAAATAAAACTGTATCTTACCATCGATGTCTCCCAGGATGAGCAATTTTTGAACTATGTGATAATGTTCTTGATTCTCTTCTAGAACTCTCTGAAAAAAATTTTTACATTTTCCATAAATCCTCTAGTGCTCATGTTGAAGGATGCTGGAACTACCAAACTTGTGAAGGGACACACATGAAGCTGGCAATGAAGAGCTTTGGGACTATCACAACAAAATAAAACAAAGGAATGGCCCTGCCTTTAAAGTATATTCAAGGCTCACAAATCCAGGACCCAATAATACCTTCGACAAAATAATCTAATCTTAGGGAATGTTATTAAATTTGTTATTATTATTATTTACATTCTTTTATTTATCCTGTGTGTATGTAGGCCTGCGTGTGCCATGGCACTGGTGGAGGTCAGAGGACAACTTGTGGAAGCTGGTTTTCTCCTTCCACCAGGCAATGCAGGTCCTGGGGCTCAAACTCAGTTGTCAGATTTGGTGGCAAGTGGTTTTACCCACTGAAGCAGTGAGCAGACCTGGAGTGGGGCAGATGGAATAACCTGCTGTACTTGCTTCTTTGGAAAAACTGGCCATTGCTTTTGTCAAATATAATTTTTACTTAGCAGTCCATTGTCTTTCAGTATTTATTCTTTTTTACATTCAAAACATTTGCTCTATCTGGATTAATTACGTAGCATTAGTTAAGGGCTCTGGCTTTGTTTTCTTCCAGGTGGAAAGCCAATTCTGTGAGGGCCATGTATTTTAAATAATCATCCTGTTTCTCCTGAAATCAAAGGCCACATCTGACACTTATTAAGTTCTCATACATGCCTGGTTCTAATTCAGACTGAGGCTCACTGACCCATCTATTCTATGCCAACTCAACACTGTTGTGTTCTTTGAATGAGGGCTCTGAGAGCTCACACCGAGTAAGGAAGCCTCCCACTGCTTCTTCAAGATGCTCACCAGTCTCATTTATCCTACTTAGAGATTTTCTGTCCAAAACAATCTCCCAAAATTATTAGGGGCCTATGTTACTTTTAGAATGACTGACATTTATAAATTTTCTCATACAGGAATGTGTTATATTTTGCCCATGTCTTCCAATAAGATTCTAGTTTTCTTTGAGAGTCCTGAAACCCTTGATTCATCTTATTCCTAGATCTTTATGGTTTTAGCCCATTTAAACAACTCTTTGGGAGGAGGGAGCTGTGTCCTTTTCTAAGTAGTTATGACGAGTACAGAACAGCTATGCAATTTTGTAACTCTGTCTTAAATTTAGCTATTTTAACAAATTATTTTATTAATTCTAGTAACTTAAGTCAGTTTTAAGTTTGCAGGCTTATACTTTGTCATATGTAAATGTCCCTGACCCTGGTGACAGTTATCGTTCTTTTCTTTTCTTTTTTTTTGGTCTTTTTGAGATAGGGTCTCCCTGTAGCCCCAGCTGGCCTGGAACTCCTATGTAGACCAGTCTGGCCTTGAACTCACAGAGATCTGCCCACCTCTGCCTCCCTAGTGCTGGGATCAAAGGCATATGTCACCATGCCTGCAGTCATGGTTATTCTTTAAATTGCTTTTATTTCATTAGCTAGAGTTTTCAAAATATTACACATTGATATTAAACCCTCAATAGAAAAAAGCATTGATTTTCTTACTAACAAAGTATATCCATCCAATAGTAAAGAAAAATAAAATGCAATAGAAAATAGTTAAAAGAAGGCCAGGTGTGGTGGTACATGCCTTTAATCCCAGCACTTGGAAGGCAAAGGCAGGCAGATCTCTGTGAGTTCAAGGTCAACCTGGTCTACATAGTGAGTTCCAGGTCAGCTGGGGCTACAGGGAGACCCTGTCTCAAAAAAAGACTAAAATAAATAAATTAATTAATTAAAGAAAAAAAGAGTGTGACAATGGCACTGCAGGGAATGTGCAATTTAATTAATTACTTGTAGGAGTATTAATTAATGCAATTTGGTAAATATTCTTTCTGTTGTAAATGTTTTTCTTTTATTTTTAACTGTACAGATTTAAGGTGTACCCTATATCTACCAATAATTTAGAAACACATATATACATATAGAGTACATTTGTATTCTTTAATCAGGCAACCCTGCTGTTAGGAAACATACAGATTCAAGGTATAGCCCATATCTGCCAGCAATTTAGAAACATTGTGTATATGCATGTACCCATACAGAGTACATTTGTATTCTTTAACCTGGCAACCCTGTTTTTAGGAAACTATCTTAAAGAAACAGAAGGACCAGTAGGGGAGTGCACACATGTTCACACATGCACAAATGCACTATCTAGCACTAGAAACAACCTAAGTACCAACTAAAAGGAATGATTTAAAAACTGTACCTCATTCATAGAACATTACATATCTATTAAAAAGAACATGTGAGGCAGGGTATGGCGGTATACACCTTTAATCCCAGCACTTGGGAAGCAGATGCAAGCAGATCTCTGTGAGTTTGAGGCCAGCCAGGGCTACACAATGAAACCCTGTCTCAACAAAAAAGTGGGGGGTGGCCCACTGGAGAGAAGGCTCAGTGGTTAAGAGCACTGGCTGCTTTTGCAGAGGAACTGGGTTCAATTCTCAGCACCTACATGGCAGCTAACAACTTATAACTTCAGTTCCAGGGGATCTGTCACCCTCTTCTAGCTTCTACAGGCACTGCATATACATGGTACATTGACATGCATGCAGGCAAAAGACTCATACATTTAAAAAATAAAATATTTGTTTAAAAAGAACACTGGGAGATGGTAAGAACCAAGTATAATGGAGTGTTTGTAGGAGGACACCTGAAGAAATCTATTGGAATGCTAACCTTAAAACAAACAAAAGAACAAACAGACAGATTAAAGCCAAGTATGAAATTTCTGAAATTCTAGCACTTGGGAGGCTAAGACAGCCTGGACTTTATAGCAAGTACCAGGCAAGTCAGAGCTATACAGTAAGACTCCATCTCTAAAAATTGTTTTTTAAAAAGTTAAACAAAACTTTGCAATTAACTTTGAGAGATTATTACTACATGGAAAAAAACCAAGATATGGAGCAATGTGATGTGAAAAACATCTCCCCAAATATTATGCTGGAATACCTGCATCATTTATACTTATTCAGAGACTTTGGGGGAAAGATAGAGGGCATTTATAGTTAGAGGAAAAAATATCAAGGGAGTTCAGAGGAAATGACAAAGGTTTTACTTACCCATATCTGGATTATTTTATTATGTACACACACACACTACTTAAGTTACTTAAAAAAATGTTAAAGAAAGTTTTCTTTCTTTTGAGACAGTGTCTCACTATGCAATCCAGCCTTCCTTCAAATTCATGGTAAGGATCCTGCCTCAGCCTCCTGAGTGCTGGTATTTCAGTATGAACCACTGGGCCCAGCTCAAAGGTATACTTTTTTTTTTTTTTAAATCTTTTTTGAGACAGGGTTTCTCTGTAGCCCTAGCTGGCCTAGAACTCACTGTGTAGACCAGGCTGGTCTTAAATTCACAGAAATCCACCTGCCTCTGCCTCCAAAGTGCTAGGATTAAAGGCATGTGCCACCATGTCCAGCAAGGGTAATACTTTAAGGTCTCTTATTTTTATTAACAAGTAAAGGAAAAGATTGGAAAGGAGAAAAAACTCCATGTTTTCTCTTTCAGTACAGTGTATAATTATATAACATTTACCCCCTATTACATTTATACTTGGTTTATATTAACATTTACCTTTTTATCAGTAGCTTGGAGTTCTTCAAAAACCTTTTCCAAGGTCCAACTTCAAAAGAGAAAAAACAAAAATGGGATAGAGTGATAACATGAAGAAGGGCTGTAAAAGAAAACTCCAAAAAGCATAGCCTAAATCCTTATGATCACATACTCACTTTGCTTCTAAACATTCTCTGGGAAGTTCTTCAGTTTCTTCTAGAGATATTACTGATGTCTGAATCTCCTGTTCCACCAGACTATCCACCATCACCCGGAAGTAGGCCCATACTGTGTCTTCCCAGGTGTCACAGACAGGAAGCAGCTTTATTTCATTTCAAAACAGAAACACACAGACACAGTTAACACAAAAGAAAGGGAAACTAGGGGCTGGAGAGTTGGTTCAGCAGTTAAGAGCACTGGCTGCCCTTGCGGAGGACCTGGGTTCAACTCCCAGCACCCACATGGTGGCTAGCAAACGTCCATAACTCCAGTTCCAGGGGATCTGACACCCTCTTCTGATCTCCCTGGGTATACATACATGTAAGCAACATACTCATACACATAAAATGAAAATAATAAAATATTTTTAGAAAGGGAAACCAATTATATTCATTGATAAAGACTTTAAAACCACTGTCTAACAATGTAAAACATTATGATTTTAAAAGTTACACCAAATAACCCTTTTCCCCAAAGTATAACTTAAAATTTTTGAATTTTGGGGGCTAGAGAGATGGCTCAGCAGTTAAGAGCATTGGCTACTCTTGAAGAGAACCTGGGTTTGGTTCCCACCACCCACATGGTGGCTAACAGCCATCCATAACTCTAGTTCCAGGGTATCTGATGCTCTCTTCTGTTCTCTGCTGGCATCACACGACACAGGTGCACTTAAATATATGTTGGCAAAACACTCATACACATACAATAAAAGTAAATAAATTTTTAAAAAATTAAGAATTTTGAGCCTCTAAGTTTTTTATCCATGATAAACTAATAGTAGCATTAGTTTTGCGTGTTAATATCAAAGGATATTTCAAGTGATTACAGCATCCCTCAAAATAGCTGTTAAAATGTGATGGACACCAGGCGTGGTGACGCATGCTTTTAATCCCAGCACTTGGGAGGCAGAGGCAGGCGGATCCTTGTGAGCTCGAGGCCAGCCTGGTCTACATAATGAGTTTTAGGACAGCTGGGGCTACAAGGAGACCCTGTCTCAAAAGACAAAAAAAAAAAAAGTGATGGATATAAGGGGTTGTGAGAAACACACACATGCCAGGCATGGTGGCATATGCTATAGTCCCAACACTTGGGAGGCAGAGGCAGGCAGATCTCTGTTAGTTCAAGACCAGCTGGTTTACATAGTTTCAGGCCAGCTGGGGCTACAGGGAGACCCTGTTTCAAAAAGACCAAAAAAAAAAAGGAGAAACACACACACAAGTCAGACAACCTAACAAGTAGTCACTGGGCCATAGCAGGACATTTCTAGTTGCAGCTTTGAGTATTAGGAATCAATAAATGCTTGTTGCAATCAAATCAACAATTCTTAGTTAGAAATTAAAGTTTGATTTCATTCATTTACTCATCATAAAAGAGCTAGGTATTGTGATGCATGCCTGCCACCCCAAGGCTAAGGCAGTAGGTTCATGAGTTTGAGGCCAGCCTGGGCTATATAGCAAGCCCTTACTTTCTAAACAAAACAACAAAAAAGCAAGTATGAGGCTACCCTGAGCTACTAAGAACAAGAAACTAAAAACAAAACACCAAAAAAAACCACCCCCAAAATGCCGAACACACACACACACACACACACACACACACACACGAAAACCATGCATCTATGGGATACATCACAATTAGCAAGTTGTCACTTTTCTGTTTTATGATGGTCTCTGCATTGCCACTTTTAGAAAGCAGCATAAGTTTATAGATTTGTTACATATAATTATTAGAATAAAGTATCTAGTTTTAAAGATTACATACCTGCTTGAGATTCCCACTTAATGCTGCATAAATTGCTCTTTCGTATTTATTAAAAAGCTCCTAGAATAAAATGAATAAAAAAGATTTGAAATAATTTTTCCTAGTATGCTAATTTTCTTCATAATCTGTAATTTCTCATTTTTTTCTAGACTGAGCCTATTCACTTGACAGTTTCTAAGCTTCAGTGACAGATCCAGTAGAGGAGCAGGAAGGAAGGACCTCTTAGTTTGATGAAATAATACCAAAAATTTCAGGAGAAAGTCAAACATTTAAATCTCAAATACAGAATGAAAGCAGGGCCAATTCTGATAAACACTGGTTATTCAGAAGCAAATTTTATTCTATACAGAACCCAGACAAGCATTTTCTCCTATAATGGATGTTTCTCAGTACCTGGTACTTCCCTGATGTTGATTTGGGAACAGCAAAATAAGGTTTCCATCAGTTTACATTAAGATTCCACATAGAATTTAAAGTGCAATTCAGATGGCTCTCTAAGATAGCTTTAAGCCTTAGTTCATTATTTTTCTCTAAATTCATCCTTGGGGGCTAGAGAGATAGCTCAGTGGTTAAGAGCACTGGTCAATCTTTCAGAGGACCCGAGTTTGGTTCCTTGCACCCACTAGCGGCTAACAACTATCCAAACTCTAGTTTTAGGGAATCTGCACCCTCTTCTGGTCTCCATGGGCATTGCACACATAGGTGCACTTACATATATGCAAGCAAAACACTAACAGATACAAAATTTTTTAAAAATTAAAATCCTTGTCAGGCATGGTGGCGCATGCCTTTAATCCCAGCACTCGGGAGGCAGGCAGATCTCTGTGAGTTCAAGGCCAGCCTCGTCTACATAGTAAGTTCCAGGACAGCTGGGGCTACAGGGAGACCCTGTCTCAAAAAGACCAAAAAAAATTAAAATCCTTATGCTTTGCCTTATGTCAGTGATTCTTACTACCTGGTGTTTGAATAATTCTGGTAAGTAGTCAAGTCTACTCATCAATTTCACTAAACTTCTTTGAATACAGGAACTTTAATCTTATGCTACATTGAACATTTCATAGCTCCTCAGTAGGCCTTCCAGAGGTTAAACAGGATTAAAAATCAGTATCAGTGAATATTTTATTATCTTACATCTTCTGCCAATCTCCAACAACTAATTTTCCAAATTCGTCTATATGGATTCCCTTCAACAGGCTCTAGTTCTGCTCCTACAAAACAGCAAAAGAGTATTTATAATTTAATATGAAATCTTATTTCAATCACTTCTAAAAAGAAAGGCTATAATTCACTAAAATTAGCATTTAGAGCTAAATAACTTCATCCTTAACAAGAGTAAAAATTGAATGTACCTCCATTAACATTAGGGTCATGATACAGTTTCCAGCCTTCGAGCGTTGCAGCTCTCCATGCCTGACCACAGCGTTTACAGAGTCGTTGTGCCTTTAGAAACAATAAAGAGCAGTTAGTGACATCACCAGTATAGAAGTGAAAAATACTTTTGCGTTAGAGCAAAGTAATACCAATGCATGACAAGATTAGATAATGTATGGCACAAATGCTACAGAGGATGACAGAATTAGTGATAGTGCTCCACTTTTCCAATAGATGCATCTATTTCTGTGTCCTTCCTTCCTTCCTTCCTTCCTTCCTTCCTTCCTTCCTTCCTTCCTTCCTTCCTTCCTCCCTCCCTCCCTCCCTCCCTCCTTCCGTTCTTTCTTTTTCTTTCCTTTCTTTTTTGAGACAGGATCTCACTATGTAGCCTTGACTAGCCTAGAACTCACTATGTAGACTAGGCCTCACAGAGATCCACCTGCCTCTGCCTCCCAAGTGCTGGGATTAAAGGCACGTACCACCATGCCCAGTCCTTTTTTGGGGGGACAGTGCTGAGAACTAAACCTAGGGCTTCCTGCATGCTAGGTAAGCACTCTAAGAACTGAGCAACATTCCCAGCTGCAATTTTTATCTTTTTTTGGTCTTTTTGAAACAGGGTCTCCCTGTAGTCCCATCTGGCCTGGAATTCACCATGTAGACCATGCTGGCCTTGAACTCACAGAGATCTGCCTGGCTCAGCCTCCTGAGTGCTGAGATCAAGGGTCTGTGCCACTACGCCAGGCATGCCACTTGTTTTTCTAATAATTCCTTTGTTTTTTTATTTTAGGCTTGCCAATAGGTTCCTGTAGCAAACAGCATATATTCTACTGAAGACCTTTGATTTATGTAACAACAACAAAGCACAAAAACAGTCTCTGGCATGATAAGGGTGCCATCACTAATTTAGTCCACTGGCATTTCCTTAAGTTCAACTTGACCAGGAAGAAATCAAGTTCAGGTCAGCTAGGGCTAGGAACACCCTGTCTCAAAAAAAAAAAAAAAAAAAAACCTTTAAACTGGGCATGGTGGCACATACCTTTAAACCCAGAGGCAGAGGCAGGCAGATCTCTGTGAGTTCAAGGCTAGCCTGGTCTATAGTTCTAGTGAGTTCTAGGCCAGCTGGGGCTATAGGGAGACCCTGACTCAAAAATACCAAAAAACAAAACAAAACAAAACAAAACAAAACAAAAAAAAAAAAAAGAAAAAGAAAAAGAATTTCCTAATAGACTTCTGGAAGTTAAGAGTGTACAGCTCTCTAAAGCTTTAAAGCTATGTAAAGCTTATCACTGTAAATGCCGTGGGAAGAGGACAGATCCAGGAAGACTGAATGGGATTACAGCATGGAAGAACAGAAGCGGGCAACAGGGATCTCTTCCAACTGGAAAAGCCCACAGCTTTTGAAACTGAACAAGCAGAGTATTCATGATTTCATGATTTACCTCTTCTGTCATCCCAGCTCGGATCAGAGTAAAAAGATATTTGAGTAATCTGACTTCGTCTTCTCTATCCAGATCATCAAGGGGCTTTTTCTGTCTAATGGGAGCATCAGGGTCCTATAAAAAAATAACGCATCATCGATATTCTGTGCTTGAAAATGAGTTCACTTGTTCTTTTATTTCTTCACGCAGGCACTCAATCATTCATGCAGTGCTAAGGATCAAACTCAGAGCACAGACCTACTAGGCAGGTGCTCTAACATTGAGATACGAGCTACAAGAGAGTCCTATATCTACACTTCATGTTAAACACAATGACAGGATAAATTTATCTGGCGTTTATACACAGAAATCAATTTAAATAAATTTAAAATCTAGTTACTAAAGAGAATGAAAGTGTCACAGGGATTATTTACCATCATTCCTGTCTGTTGCCCTGCTTAAAACAGACTCTGTTGGCCTGCAATAGTATACACCTAAGTCAGGTAAGCTCAGGATACCATTATCCTAGCCCAACCTAGAACAGGTAACACTACATGACTTGCGCTTTATTCTGCCACAGCACACAGAATTAGACGCAGAGGATGGACAAGCCAAAGGAAAAACTGAAGGCATCTATTCTGTGACTAGAAAGCATCCACTTCATAGCCTGATAACTATGGGAACCATATGGGAAAAGAGCCTATTCAATACCCATTTTATGACTGCTGCCATATGAAGCACAGCAAGGGGGCCAAAGTATATCTGAGAGGTTGCCTAGTGTGTAAAAGGCCCTGGATCAATCCTCAGTGAGCAAACAAATACAACAATGCCTACCTCTGTTCCACCTCCTCAAAAAAACTTCTAAAATCATTATTCCTATCTATCACATTCATGTGTTTAAAAATATCTAGTATTGGGGCTGGAGAGATGGATCAGTGGTTAAGAACAGTGGCTGTGCCAGGCGTGGTGGCACAGCCTTTAATCCCAGCACTCCGGCGGCAGAGACACGTGGAGTTCAAGGCCAGCCTGGCCTACAGAGTGAATTCCAGGACAGCTGGGGCTACAGAGAGATCCTGCCTCAGGGAAAAAAAAAAAAAAAGAACAGTGGCTGCTTTTACAGAGGACTCAGGTTTAGTTCCCAGGTTCTATGTGGTATCTAACAACTATTGGTAACTCCAATTCCAGGGGATCTGACGCCGTCTTCCGACCTCCATGGACACTGCATGACATGGGTGTACTTAACACACAGGCAATATACTTTTACACATAAAATTTTAAAAAATATTTTTAAAAAAGTATCGGGGCTGGAGAGATGGCTCAGTGGTTAAGAGCACTGACTGCTCTTACAGAGATGGGTTCGAGTCCCAGGACCCACATGGTGGCTACGAACTGCCCTTAACTCCAGTTCCAGGGGAATCCTATGCCCTCTTCTGACATCCTCGGCATTGCACGACACGAGTGCACTCACATACATGCAGGCAATACACTCATACACATAAAAAAATTAAAAAAATAAAAATATCTAGTATTAATTTAATATTAACACGTGGTCTTCACTTTAGGGGCAAATAGCATACATGATCTACACAGTGAATTTCAAACAAAAATGATTTTAATGTGACTTAGCAAAGGAGGTAATTCATATACCCAATGTTATTGAGTAAGAAAGTCTCACTATCAGTTTAGAAAATTATATGCATTCTAGGTCCAGTGACTACTTTCGCAAATATTTTGCAGACCCGTGCTCTCTGGCAGCAGACACTAAGATTGGAACAATATAGATTAGCATGGCCCTGTGCAAAGATGACACTCAAATTCGTGAAAAGTGTTATGTATTTTTTTTTTTGGTCAGGGTCTCCCTGTAGCCCCAGCTGGCTCGCAACTCACAATGTAGACCACATAGCCTGCCTCTGTCTCCCAAGTGCTAGGATTAAAGGTGTGAGCCACATACCTGGCAAAGTCTTCCATATTAAAAAAAATTTTTGCAGACATAATGTGGTGGTTTGAATGAGAATATCCCCCACAGGCTCCAAGTATTTGGACACTTGGTCCCAGTCTGTGGCACTGTTTGGGGAGGGTCATGGAACATTTAGGAAGTGTGGTCATGCTGGAGGACAGTCACTGGGGTCAAGCTTTGAGAGTTCTTAAGCCTGGCTGGATTTCCAGTTTTTCTCTGCTTCTTATGGCTGCTAGATGTGATCCCTCAGCCTTCTGCTCTGGCCACCTCCTGCCAAGCATGCCTCCTTTACCATTATGAACTCTCCTTTGGAACAGGAAGCCAAACGAACTGTTTCTTCTCTAAGTTGTTTGGTCATGGTGTTTTATCACAGCAACAGAAAGCAACTAATACACATAATCATTCAGTTTTGGAATATGGTCTCTTTCTGGCAAAAAAAAAAAAAGTCATACTTTGTAGCTGTTGAGTAAACTAGTTTGCTATAAGGTAATTAATTTAACTTCCATTTCTTTTAAGTCAGGTACCTTCCATATAATTTTTATTATAAACTACTTTTGTTAACAAGGGAATTTTATGATTTTTTTTCAATAGCTACTATTTTCTAAAATATTTTTTGATTTATTTTTATTTTATGTGTATGTGTGTATTGCCTACATGCATGCAAATGCACCCGTGTCATGCCAGATGCCCACAGAGGACAGAAGAGGGCATTGCATTCCCTGGAAGTGTAGTTATGGACGGTTGGGTCCATGTCATGTCGGTGCTGGGATTTGAACTTGGGTCCTCTGCAAGAACACTTAGTGCTCTTAACCACTGAGCCATCTCTCCAGCTCCCTCAATAGCTACTATTTCTCTCTTGTCACATTTCTCATCTCTCTACTAGTCACAAAGCTCCATCCCTTCAATTTAAAATAGTTCAGTTCCTGTTCTTTGCAAATACGTAGTTATTACTCATAACATAAATGACCTTCCTAATCTCAAGGAATGACAAGAATTCACCCCTCCACCATTATCTATAGGAAAGAGCTTCCAGAGGTCACTGCTTTATAGTTAAAGAGTCAAACTCTGCAATAAGACCAAACAATTTGTTTTTAATGCTGTCAGGTATTCCTTCCACATTACAGGATGCTCAAAAACACTCCACTATATTCAAATGCAACTTAAATGTTTTAAATTAAATGTCAGTATGTACATACCAGGATCTTGAAGAAGAAAAATTCTCAACATTAAAATAAATAAATAAATAAATATCACTTATCTCTGAAGGCAACCTTCACTTCTGAGAATACTTACCAGTTCAGTGACGAGAGGACGCACACTTCCTATGAAAGAGGGCAGCTGGCGTTGTTTTAAGGTATGGAGGGTATTTTCCCTGAAAAAAAGTACCATTTTTTTTAAGAGGCAATCTAAATACATTACTTAAAATGTAACAACAATAAAACCAAAAAAACAAAACACAAACACACAGAAAACAAAGTAAGAAAGAAAAAAGAAAACTAGACAGCAAACCTAGAAAAACACGTAAGTCCTTAGCACAGACAGACAGTTTACCTCTATGAGTACAGATGTTGACCCTTTCTCATGCCTACTAGCCATTTATATACCTGCTTTTATGATGGAGCTGCTTAAGTCTTTGTTCTTTTTACTGTGTTGTAGTATATTACGGACTACAAGTTCTATGTTTCTACTAGCCTGTCTCACTCACACTTACATTTAATGTTATTTATTTGAGTTTCCTGTAGTTGGCCTCAAACTAGCTATGTAGCCACCAAAGACCTTGAACTCCTGATCCTCCTGTCTCTACCTTCCAAGTGCTTCAATTATAGCTATGATGCTTATACCCAGCTTATTTTACTTTTATTTATTTTTTGTTTTTCTGACACAAGATCTCCCTGTAGCCCCAGCTGGCCTGGAAATTACTATGTGGACCAGGCTGGCCTCCACTTCACACAGATCCTCCCCCTAGGTAAAATCAAAGGCATATGCCACTATACCCATCTTTTATTTTATTTTTTTGAGAAAGGATCTCAGGACAGTCCAGACTGGCCTCAAACCCACTACTGATCTGTCTGCCTCTGCCTCCCAAGTGATAGGATTATAGCAAGCCCCATTATACCCAGCTCCCACTGATTTTCTCAATGCTGTTTTTAAATGGGAAGTTTTCAGATTTGATGAAGTTTTTTTTTTTTTTTCTTCCCCTAATTATTGCTTTGTGTAATTTAAGAAACATTTGTGAATTCCAAGTTACAATATCTTCCTATGTTTTCCAGCTGAAGTATTCTGGATTGCTTTTAAGTTCAGAACTATACTCCATCTTGAATTTATTGGGTATAATGTGAGAAAGGTTAATCTTCTTTAACATAGGTGTTTTTCTGCAGTTTGCTGAAAAGATACTATAGTTCCTCAGTTACCAGCTGTGATGCTTTCATTAGAAACCAAATCAGCAGGGTCCAAAGAGAGATGCTGCTCTTCCAGAAGAGCAGGGTTCGGTTCCTAGGACCCACATGCCAGCTAACAACCATCTATAACTCTAGTTCCAGGGGATCTGCTGCCCCATTCTGACCTCCATGGGCATTGTATGACATGTGGCACTTACATAAATTCAGGGAAAACATTCACACACATAAAATAAGTAAAATAAAGAACAAAACAAAATAGAAAGCTGGAGAGATGACTCAGCAGTTGAGAGCACTGTCTGCTCTTGCAAGGGACCCAGGTTTGGTGCCCAACACCCACAAGGTAGCTAACAACTGTCTATAACTCCAGTTTCAGGGGATCCTACACCCTTTTCTGATCTCTGTGGGCCTTGCACACATGTGGTGCACTTATATACATGCACACAAAACACTCATACACATAAGAAAATAATAATTAAAAAAATTTTTTAAAGATTTTTCCTTGAGAGACAGGAAGATCACAGTGAGTTCAGGCCTGCCTCAGCAAGTAGTGAGACCTTGTCTCAAAACAAAGGCAGGAAGGCCCCAATGCATTCCTTTTAAGCCCAGCACTCAGGAGACAGAGGCAGGTGGACCCCTGAGTTTGAGGACAGTCTGCCTGTTCAACAACAACAAAAAAGTAGTAAGATGACTGCATGTGAAACAAACGGAAGCATAGCATTCTTGTATTTTCAAGGTTCCTATCATATTTAGACTAAAGTTTGAAATATTCATAATGGTCTGCTTAAAGTCTTGCACGACCTGCTCACTCTATTATCAGGTTCTGCGCTTCCTCTCCTTGCCATGCTCACATGGGCCTCTGTGTGCAGATACGTCTTTCTCAGAGTCTCATGGGTCTATTCTTACTCAGAACGCTTGGACCCAAGGTTTTTGCAGTGTGCCTCCATGACTTCCTTTTGTCTTCCCTCCCTTCTCGTTTTTTCTTTCTTTTTTCCAGACAGGGACTTGCTAAGCTGGTAGGCTGACTCTTCTGCTTGGGCCTTCCCAGTATCAAGGACTGCAGCTGCATGATACCACACCCAGTTTCATTTACTTCTTGTTTATCTTTCATTTTTTCGGTTTTTTTTAGGCAGGGTCTCCCTGTAGCCCCAGCTGGCCTGGAACTCACTATGTAGAACAGGCTGGCCTCAATCCCAGAGATCTACCTGCCTTTGCTTCCTGAGTGTTGGGATTAGAAGCATGTGCCACTATACCCAGCTTTTTTTTTTTTTGAGACAGGTTGTAACTCTGTAGCACTGGCTGGCCTGGAACTCACAAAGATCTACCAGCCTGTCGTCTTGAGTGAGTGCTGGCATTAGAGGAGTGGGCTACCATGCCTGGTGCTTTTATTTCTTACTACTTGCCTCTTACTACTTGCTACTTTCTTAGAGAGGCCTTCCCTGATCACCTTAAGATAAGACTCAATGTCATTCTACATTCACTAACTAATGAGTAACAAATTCTAATAAAGGGTAACATTCATTCTAATATGAAATATAGAATAACTAATTCACTAATTAATATTCATTCATGACTTTTTCAAAGCTTATTTCCTTCAATTCTCTTAAATAACTACAAATTCTGAAAAGGCAGAGCTTCAATCTGTTTTGCTCACAACCTGAACAAAGTAAAAACTGAATAAACATTTAAAGAAGAATGAACCTAACAAACATTGACTTCAAGAATAAAAACTTAATACATGCATAAAATTGTCAAAGAATAAATTTAAAATATTATTTTAGTTAGTTTGTTTTTGAGACAGGGTCTGATTATGTAGATGCAGCTGGCCAGGAACTCACCGAGATCTGCCTGCCTCTGCCTCCAGAGTACAGAGATCAAAGGTGTGAGCCACTACACCTGGGTAAAAATGTTCTTAAAAAAAGAAAAAACAATGACTTACCAATATACTGATTTTGCATAAAACTCAATATTATCAGAAAAATCTCCAATTTCATCTTTGGCAATACTTTCTAACCAATCTACCACCAACTAGGAAAGAAACAAACACACACAAAAAAATCAACATTAACTCTAAAATCTACGAGAATTTTATGTCGAGTGAACTTCTTGCCTTCATTCAAAGTTTCTAATGTCAAAGATACCAACTAACAAATTTTCAACCACTATTTTTAGTTGTTTATCTTAATTTTACTCCTTTGTTTTGAGACAGGGTCTAAGTATGTAGCCTTGGCTGGCCTTGAAATCCCTCTGTAGACCAGGCTACCCTAGAACTCACATGCCTCTGGACTGCTAAGTGCTGGGATTAAAGGCATGAGCAACCATGCCTGGCTTAAAAAATTTTTTTGAAGTTAAACATTATAACAAAAGAACAGTATTTACTATAGGGATAATACTATTTTTTAATAGTCTATTCATGTAAATACAAATGCAGTTATTTAAAAATTAAAGAAGAAACAATGTTCCAAATTTCATTTAATAACAAATGAAAAAAATGAAGTAGAAAGAAAATTGAAAAAGAACTGGTAAGTTAAAACAACTTTAGTATTCTGCAAGTCATTTACCTTTTCTCCATGTTTCTTTAAAAAATATAATTTCAAAATTCCAGTCATACCTGGCTCTGTCTGACCAGTGAATCTCTCTGAAACAACGCTTCCACAGCTGTCTTCTCACTGGTGTTTACAGCCTATTGTGAAAGTTAAAGAGAGGAAAGAAAAGATGCTAAGAATATTATTTCAGAAGGAAAAAGCCAACTAGAAGCATATTAAATCACTTGTACATATATATTTTATTATATAGTAAATGTGTATAGTTAATCCTTGAAAAATATTTATAAATATTTTATACTACTAGATTTGCAGCTGCTTCTACTTGATGTTATTTATTTTGTTTATTTTTTTCCCTGATAATTTAGTTTGTTATACTTGGGGTTTTTTTTTTTTTGGTCTTTTTGAGACAGGGTCTCCCTGTAGCCCCAGCTGTCCTAGAACTCACTATGTAGACCAGGCTGGCCTTGAGCTCACAGAGATCTGCCTGCCTCTGCCTCCCAAGTGCTGGATTAAAGGCGTGTACCACCACGCCCAGCTATGCTTGGATTTTTAATATTTAGTTTCTGGGCTGGGATAAAACTTAGTGTTGTAGAGTACTTGCCTAACATGCACAAAGCTTTGAGTTTCATCCCCAGCACTACAAGAAAATAAAAAATCCATTTCCACAGAGGTGATGTTTTAGAAACACACATACACACAGAAAAGAAGGGAGGGAGAGGAGGAGGGTGACAGGGGAATGGGAAGGGGAGAGGGAGAGGACAGCAGAGGTGCAGGAGAGGGGAGAGGAAGGGAGGGGAGGAAGCTGGTAGAAGAGAAGCCTTGGTTGTGTACATGAGCCCAGCAGTTGGGAAGCTGACTGTCAAGAATTGAAGGCCAGGCATGGTTACAGAGCAAGACCTATTCTAAAACAAAACAAACCCAAAAGTTACACTAAAGGGTTGGCTGGAGTCATGCTACCATACTAAAAAATGAGTATGTCAAAACTAAAACCTTTTCATCTAAAACCATGGAAGTTGATAATAAAAGCTACGTGCAATCCAAGGCTACTAAGACTGACTTTAAAGCGGGAATAATCCTAGCACTCAAGAGGCTGAGGTAGCGTCAACCTTCAAATCAGTATGCTACACAGTGAGACTGTCTCAAAAAACAAAACACAACAAGGCAGGGCCTGATGGCGCACACCTTTAATCCCAGCGCTCCGGAAGCAGAGCCAGTTTGATCTCTGTGAGTTCAAGGCCAGTCTGGTCTACATAGTGAGTTCCACGCCAGCTGGAGCTATAGGGAGACACTGTCTCAAAAAGGAAAAAAAAAAAAAAAGTAGAAATTATAAAGTTCATCTGGGAGAGAAAAGCATGGAAAAACAGCAAAAAGTATATTTATGAATACAGAAGAGAAGGGGGCTCATCCTACTCAAACCTCAAAATCTCTGACATCCAGTACTACAGAGAGAAGAGGGGGGAATCAAGAATTCAAAGTCAGCCTGGGTGGCCTACATGATGCAATCCTCCACCTCCAAATTTTATCTTACTAATAAAATAACTTATTAAAATAGTTTTAAGACAGGCATGGTGGCACACACCTTTAATCCCAGCACTGGGGACACAGAGGCAGGTGGATCTTTGAGACTGAGGCCAGCCTGCTCTTTATAGTGAGTTCCAGGCCAACTGGTGCTATAGGGAAAGCCTACTTCAAACTGTCCTCCCCTAAGTCCTGCCAAAAATAAAGATAGAGCTAAATTTAGGAGAAAACACTGAATTGTTTTTAAGATCCTGTCTCACTATATAGTTCAAGATGTCCACAAACTTGGAATCCTTTCTTGGCCTCCTGAGTATTGGTATGTGCCACCTGAGTATTGGTATGTGCCACCATAAGCAGCAGGAAAAAAAATGTTAATAAGTAATGCTTTCCTATAAGAAGCAAAATAATAAAAGCAAAAGAAAAGCATAAGAGATACATGTGATCAGTTAAAAATGAAAGAGGGCCAAGGAGATGGTTCAGGAGGTAAAGGTGTTTGCTGCTAAGCCCGTATCTGGGACCCATATGGTAGAAGGGGAAAACAAATCCTGCAAGATGTTCTCGACTTCCTCATGCACACAGTCCATGTTTCTCTCTCGCAGAGAAACACACACAAACGTACAAGCACACATAATAAAAAAAAAATCTCAGAGAAAAGAACCCATAAATAAAGCTAAAGGACAAGTAAAAGAATGGAAAATATTTTTAATATATATAAGAGAATTAGCAAGAAACAACATAGGAAGATGGGCAAAGACTGTAGACACATGGATGGAAGAAATGCAAACAGCTATGGAGCGTGTGTGGTCTATACTCATAATGCCAGCACTTGGGAGGCTGAGTCAGAAGGATTGCAACTTCAAGGCCAGCCTGGGCTACACAAAAAAGACAAAAAAAACACCCCAAAACAAAAACCACCAACATGACAACAACAGGGCTGGGCTCAGTGGTTAGGAGCACTTACTGCTCTTTCAGAGACCCTAGGTTTGGTTTCCAGTACCCATGTCAGGTGCTCACAATTGCCTCTAACTCCAGTACAGTGTATCTAACACCTTTTGATCTCCTTGGGCAGTACATGTAAGCTCACATAAAGGACACATACAAACACATAATAAAAAACTTAAAAAAATAAACAAGAAGAACAACAAAAAAGCCAACTATGTGGTATGATGGTACACGCAAGACACGAGAGTGAATTTGAGGCCAGCCTGTGCTACACAACTACTCTATGTCTCAAACAAAACAAAACAAAACAAAATGAAAAAAAACAACCAAACTATGTGTGAGTACTTTGATTATATGTGTATTATAAAGATTGACAGAAAGAACATCTGATAGGATATATATCAAGTTGTTAAGGTAAATAAATCAAAGGAATGAAAAAAAACTTTACTTTTATTCTCTAATGTAATATTTATGCTATATCTTTTATGTACTTTAAAAAATTATTAAGTGTAGAAATGCAAACTGGGTTGAAAACCAAATCCTACTACTGAAAAATATTTTCTCCATCTATAAAGGAAAAAAGTAATTAGAGAACTTACAGAAAGTGCAAACATATTTTCATCTTCTAATGAAGACTGTATTCGGTCTCTGGGGAAAAATAACACAAAATAAAAAAGTCTTATTTTATATAAATACATGAGGTCACGTTTTAAGCTATTCCTTCTGTAAACCTGCCTTCTCTCAGGCATAAACAAATGAGTTCCAATTAACTTGGTCATCACATTTTTTTTTTTCCGTCTTTTTGAGACAGGGTCTCCCTGTAGCCCCAGCTGTCCTGGAACTTACTATGTAGACCAGGCTGGCCTTGAACTCACAGAGATCCACCTGCCTCTGCCTCCTGAGTGCTGGGATTAAAGGCATGCACCACCACGCCCAGTGGTCATCACATTTTAATATAATATACAGGCAGTACATATCTGCTAAATATGGTACTGATACCTGAACAAAATTGGTAATTACTAATGTAGTAGCCTTACTGGCTACCTGATAAACACATGCCCTTTTCACATAACATTTTAATGAAAAATTAATGGTATGATTTTTCTTTCAATATTTTTTCACAAAATCAATGGCGTGATTAATGATTATGATTTTTTCTTTCAATATTTTATTGGCATAAGCAAAAAAAAAAACCCAAAACTAGACTTGGAGGGATGATTCAGTGGTTAAAAACTCTTACTGCTCTTACAGAGCACCCAGATTCAGTTCCCAGCACCCATACCAGGTGGCCCATACCACTTGCAACTCCAGATGATGCTCTCTTTTGGCCTTCTTGGCATGCACGTGGTGCAAATAAACTCATGCAGGCACACATGCACACGATGAAAATAATGTTAAACAAAAATGCAACAGAATAAAACCCAAAACCTCCCTCTCCCTCTTTCTCTTCCCTCCTCCCCTCTCCTCTCCCCAGCTCTGAGACAGGGTCTTACTACGCAGCCCATACTCACTTCAAACTCTCAATCCTCCCCACCTCAGCATCCCAAACTCTGGAATTACAGGCATGTAACCATTACAGCAAGCTACAGATCTGATTCTTTTATAGTTATCAGTTTTATGGTCTTTTTTTCTTTTTTTAGCTTTATGGTCTTATAGTTTCCTTTCCTCACTCAAAATTAACAAAACCTATTTCTAAACCCATCTTACTCTATTGTTTAAATTAATTTGCCTATGGGCTGGAGAGATGGCTCAATGGTTAACAGCACTTGATACTCTCAGAGGATCTGAGTTCAATTCTTAGCACCCTCATCAGGCAGCTCACAACCACCTGTAACTCCAGCTCCAGGGGCTCTGACTCCCTCTTCTGGTCTCTGCAGGCACCTGTACTCATGTGCGCATACACAGACATACATATGCATAATAAAAAAAAAATCTTTCAAAATAATTAATTTGCCTGTTGGCTTGGTATTTTATGTGTATTTCATTTATGAGTTCTATAGAACTTTACCTATACAAAGAAGCAAGCAGCCTCCATGTGACCATCTCTTGTTGAAGAAGCCAGAGCATACTAGCTGTCTTTGAAAACTTCTGCAGTCCAGGCGTTGCTCGACTCACTATTTTACTCAGTATATTTACCTAAAATTAAAACAGATGTAAAGAGGTTGATTTTTTACAATTTTGAGTTACTAATAGCATTGTGTTAAGTACACAGTGCTGAATGAACATATACAATTTAGATGCAAACATATTAGAAAATTTCCTGCCTATCTATTATGTTTTTGAATCAAATACAATGTAACAATCCCATCAAAACTGACCCTAATTTGGAGTAAAGTATATTTATATGAATACATATGAAAGCTCAATATATTAAGTTTCAGATTCAACAATAGCAGCCACAGGTATGTATTTCTTATCCCTGTATATCTACCCAGAGGATAAGTTAAATTATCTATACCTGACGATCTTATGGCCCAAAAGAGTAACAATGAATGAATATTCTTTTGCTTATTTGTTTTTGAGAGAAGGTCTCAGTATGTAGCCCTGGCTTGCCTGGAGCTTGTTACATAAACCAGGTTGGCCTCAATCTGACAGGGCTCCACCTGGCTCTGTGTCAGAATGCTGGGATTAAAGGCATGTGCCACCAAGCCCCAGCCCAAAGATTTATTTTTACTTTATGTGTATGAGTGTTTTGTCTGCATTTATGCGTATCACATAAAGTGTGCCTGGTGCCACTGCCTAGAGGTCAGAAGAAGAAACTTGGAGCTGCAGTTATAGACAGTTATGAGTCATCATGTGGGTGCTGGGAAATATCCAGATATGGCGGCATATGCCTTTAATCCCAGCACTGAGGAGGCAGAGGCAGGCAGATCTCTGAGATGAGGGTAAGAGTGTTCCATGCCAAGCCTGAAGCTCTGATCTACATGGTAGAAGAAGAGAATTGACTCCCACAAGTTATTGTCTGACACACCATCATGCTCAGCTTCAAGTTTAATCTTGGAAGAAATCACCAAACTTGCTGGGTGTGGTGGCACATGCCTTTAATCTCAGCCAGCCTGGACTGCACAGTGAGTTCCATGTCTACATGGTAAGACCTTGTCTCAAAAAAAAGAGAAAGAAACCACCAACCTAGTTTTCCCATGTGGTTGGATCATTGTGCATTCCCATCATCAAATAATCTGAGTTCCTGTTTCCACTTACTCCTCAATCTTGGATGGTGTCACTTGGATTTTTATCATTTTAATAGGTATCCAGCTGTATTTTCATTTGTCCTCATTTATCATCCATATACCTTTTTTGGTTAGCTGCCCATTCCAATCTTCTGACCATTTTTTAATCTAGTTCTTTGTTTTTTGCTATGTGTGATGCATATGTATGTGTATATTCTGAGAAAGGGTTTTTCACTGAATTGGAACTGACATTTCTGACAAATCAGCTGGCCAGTAAGATCCCCCAGAATCTGCCTACCCCTCCCCTGTTCCAATCCCTGAGGTTGCAGGAATGCAACACTTTTTAAAAAAATATTTTATTTATTTTTATTTTATGTATATGAGTGATGAGTGTATTGCCTGCATCTATGTGAGTACACCCATGTTGTGTAATGCCTGTGGAGGTCAGAAGAGGGCATCAGATCCCCTGCAATTGGATTTACAGACAGTTGTTAGCCACCATGTGGGTGCTGGGATTTGAACCCGGGTCTTCTGCAAGAGCAATCAGTGCTGTTAACCACTGAGCCATCTCTTCAGGCCCCTCACACCTAACTTTTACATGTGTGCTAGAGATCTGAACTCAGGACTTTTTTATCAAGCCCTTTCCCAAACCCTGGGCTTTTTTTTTTTTTTAATTTTAGTGGTCTGTTTTAGTGGTTTGTTCAAGTCAGGGTCTCCCTGTAGACCAAGCTGGCCTTCATCTCATAGAGATCTGCCTGCCTAGGCCTCAGAGGACTGGGATTAAAGGTGTATGCCACCATGCCAGATTTGCGGTTTTTTTTTTTTTTTTTTTTTTTTTTTTTTTTTTTGACAGGATCTCCCTGTAGCCCCAGCTGGCCTGGAACTCACTATGTAAACCACCAAGCTGGCCTTGAATTCTAAGATCCGCCTGCCTCTACTTCTCCCAAGTGCTGGGACTAAAGGTGTGTCCACCATGCTCAGCCTTGCTTTGCTTTTTTGTCTCTTTTTAAAAAATATTTTATTATTTTAATTTTATGTGTATGAGTGTATTGCCTGCATGTATGTGAGTGCACCTGTGTTGTACAATGCCGTGGAGGTCATAAGAAGGTCTCCAGACCCTCCAGAGTACTGGGGCTAACTCCCTGGACCTGGAGTTAAGGAGGGTTCATAGCTGCCATGTGGGTGCTGGGAATCGAACCTGGGTCCTCCGCAAGAGCAATCAGTGCTCTTAACCGCTGATCTCTCTCTCCTGCCCCTAGACTATTTTTAATTTTGGACCCCCAA